ACATAAATTTTTTTTGCTTATTTTTTCTGCTTAAGGAGGAATTTCCTCAAAATCAATTAAAACAACTGATTAAAAAAAAACATATAAAATAAAAGAATTATTTGCGAGAGAAAACGCAGTCATCACAAGAAATTGAGCCCTGTTAACCTGATTTTATGAGCTGCATTTGTTACCACTATGGCATCTATTATAGTAATGCTAGAGCAAAAGGTTTTTAAATCGGATAAAAAATTTGAGGACTCCCAGAATGCACCAAGATAGTGAAGAATTAGTTTCGTCAAATATTTGAGTCTTCATTTCGCCAAAAATCACGCAATTTCGCAAGGAACTTGCAGTCGAAATGCAGTTCAAATTGCGAAATTAAGAGTTTTAATTAATAGCGTTATAGTAAAAAAAAAGAGGACGAATATCAAAAAAAGAAACACATGAAATTATTCCAAAACTATTCAAGTTTTACTTACATGCATTGCAGGTGTTATTAAATAAAATACAGGTTTTGTAACAACAGTATAGTGAACCATACGTAAAAAAATTTTTCAAACAAAACTGAATTAAATTTAAATACTTTCCTTTTGTAATACAGTTAATTTATCATGTGTTCTAGTATCAGACTTTTTTACCATTATAAACTAGTAAATCTACAAAGTACAGCATTTGAATGTAAATACTATTTAATTGCACGCTCTGCAAATAAATTTTAGAATTTTTCTATGGCGTTGCTGATTTGTACAGAGGTTCAGCTGCTTTTGCCAACCACGCTAAAATTTTCTTTATTTGTGATTTGTGTTTTTTTTTTTTTTTTCAAATTNAATTTTAGAATTTTTCTATGGCGTTGCTGATTTGTACAGAGGTTCAGCTGCTTTTGCCAACCACTCTGAAATTTTTTTTAATTGTGATTTGTGTTTTTTTTTTTTTTTTTTTTCAAATTACTTTTTTATGAAGATATTTTCCATCAAATTTTATTCTTTTTTGAATTAAAATGGTAGGATAATTTTTTTTAAATCTTTTTAAAAACGTATTTGTGATCTACAAATGTATTTAAAAAAACACTATATTAAACATTCTTTGGTGCATTGTTTACTCATACTAAATTTAAGCGTACGAGAAATTATTTTCATCAAGTTGGCGAGAGTTCAATGGTATATATTTAAAGTCATTTTCACGTCAAGATTCATTTAAATTCAAGAGTAACTACAAAAAAGGTCAATAAGCTCTCCCATAACCGCTTTTAACCAAAATTGTGTCTAAACATTTTTGTTATTACAGAGTGTCGGAAAGAAGAAAAAAAAGGAAAGCCAACTTTTTATTTCTGAATCTAATGAAGAGTGTTTTCACCGTCTAGTACTATCCCTTATATTGATTGGATTTGTAACATGGACCAAAGCAACTGAATATCTGAAATAATAAGCATGTAAAAATTAACCTTTGAAGGATTCAACTCGCATCTAAAGTAAACAAATCTAAGAATGATCTGAAATTACTTCATTGCTATTAATATCATATACGCTACTTGATTGATACACTTTGCGAATTCTATTTCTGCTAATGGATGTTAATAGAAGCGTAAATTCTCATTAGTTCCATATCTTTTTATAGAGTTACACGTTCAAATATATCCCTACCAAAATATGTTCGACATTTTACGTGTGCATAAAAACGTATAATAATGTTACAAAGATGTTTTCAAAATTGAGTTACAATTATACATGATATAGCATAAAAATTAGAATTGACTTCAATTAAATTAAGGGGTGAAAGTTTTTCTTTTCAAAATGAACCTTCAAGCTTAAAATAACAATGCATACTTACATTGAAATGGAACTTAATCATGGTATCTCAATCGTGGATAGTAAAATATGCAACTAGTAAAACATTACTCGAAGTTCAACTTTGAACCCATATAGCCGCAATCTGGAAAGTATAGTCCTAATAAATTCTATAAAACGATTGAAAGTTTGAAATCCTTAATGCTTTAAACTTAAAGTATTCCACCTTATCTCTAAAACTATTTAAGTAAATGATAATAATAATTATAAATTACGCACTTTTTTGTTCAATTTGTTAGGTCTACCACTCTTCGTCTAAAACGCAGTTAGCAGGTTTTTATGGCTATGCTACCTCGTCTTCTTTTTTTATTGTTCAAGTATTTACCTCATTTTCAAAAAGCTGCTAATGCAATATAAAAACCATAAAAGTCTAGACCTTTTTAACTGAAAAAAATGCGTATGCAATATTGGGTCTCCCATTTTTTGTTTAATGATTTTTTGTTATTAGTTGGGTCTCCCATTTTTCAGGTTTTTACGTTTCACAGCAGGTTTTTACGTTTAGGCTACCTCGTCCATTTTTTCATTGTTAAAATATTTAATTCATTGTTTTTTTATATTTTAAAAGCTGTTAATGTAATATAAAAACCATAAAATTCTAGACCTTCGTAACTGAAAAAAAAAACAAAACACTTATGCATTATTTTTTATTAGCCCATTTTATATTATGATTTATAGCTATGGTTAATGATTATAATGGTGCTTAAAACCTTTCCAATCATTTCTAACCTTTCTTATTGCTAAACACTTTAAAGATTATAAATACATCAATTGATCTGTGTAGTCATGTATTCAATAATAAATAATAGCATAGCCTTGTAATAGTAACGTAATAATAGATATATCATTTTTCTCTACGAATATTTCAAACTTTCTCATAATACGCAGTAACAATTTTCTTTTAAAAAAGAACGACCGTTACGAGGATTCTAAAAAACTAGAGGAACTCGGCAACTATTTTATTTCCAATGCAGAAAATGACATTTTAAATTTAAAATTGAATTCTTTGAAAAGGTTTTTCCTTTTTTGCAATTTAAAAGAAATAAACATGTTCTTACTTTAAAGACAATCAAAGCACGTTGCGTTAATTTATTTTCCAATGAACGGAATAAATTGCTCTAAGGGGAGATTTATTTCAGTGAAATCTTTTTACGACTGACAAATTTCTGGGTAAAAAATAGAATCTGGGCAGTAAGTTTAATCAATTGAAATAACTTTTATATTGATATGTGTAAATGATTTGCAAAACTATGGAATAATATTCTTTTTCAGTAAACAAAATAATAAAATATGCTGTTTAAAATGTCAATAAGCTTGTGAGCATACAGAAATAGTTTTATATTATATTACAGAAATTACTTATTTTTTCTCTCCCTAGTATATCAAGCGTACGCTTTCCGCTTTTCATTTAATAAACTAAATCTAAATTAATAATTTTCTAGATTTAAATATTTTGTTGTTATTTGTATTTTGTAGGTCTTTTTAAAAGTTGTAGCAATGAAACTTATTATTTCGTTATGTATTATTTAAATAGACTGATTTGTATATTTAATGTTTTAAAAGGGCATATTTTATTACTTTTAACACTAGAAAACATTGCATTTTTTATCTAATATTTTTCATACATGCTTAAAACCTTGAAAAAATAAAAATCGTAAAACTTAAACGGTGTGTTGTTAAAAAACATGAATTTTCAAATTTTCAGTTAATTTTTTTTAAATGATGAAATATGCACACTAATTTCAGCAATGTTCTTTTTAAAAAAAATTATAGCTTATTTTACCTTTGTCTTAAGGTTGAATGTTCTGATAATACACTAAAAAATCCATCTTTCATACATGTTCTTACTCATCTTCGATATAAGTTGAGGCATGATTTGTATTCACAACATTATTTTTATAAATAAATTAAAGTGAATAATATGTAGAATAATGTTAAAAATAAATATATAGTTTTTAACTAATTATATGAGCTATAATAAGTTAACCACTTATTATACCACTTGGAAAAACAAGCCCTTTTTTTAATAATCGCATATTTAATAAAAATCGCATGTAAGAAATAAAAAAGAACTTCCCGAATATGTGTTATTAGTAACAAAAACCTTGCTACATTTTATGCTTGTTACAAACAAAAACTGATACATAATAAGAGATGTGAACTTTAAAAAAAAATAAAACCTTTGTTATAAGGTGCTTTACTTAACATTCAATAGTTATAAATACATAAATTCAATTCCTCTAAAAAAGCAAAACGAAATCCCAAACCAAAATCTCAACTTATCACGTTAACATTAAATTGAACAAATTGAACTCAATTTTTTTTTTCTTATTATAATTACAAGCGCAAAAAGGTCCATTAGGTCGCCATACAGTTTTTTATTTCCCTGTCTGAAGATTTACACAATTTAATTAACAGGTTTAGCTAAGAGGGTAAAAAAAAAATACCATGGGTACAACTGGCTCCCTTTGCATAGAATGTTTCAGTAATTAATATTTGAAGTCAGAAAAATTAAAAGCTTCTGAAATTTGTTGCTGCGCATATAATTTGGTCAATTCGAAATAGTTTGTAATATTGCTATTTTTAATGCTGATAAAATTTAATGTTAACATTTTTTCCAGCTAGTTTTATTGGTGAACCGGTGTTGTATTTAATCGTGCTACATGATACTTCAACTACAGAAAAATGAGCCTCTCACATCCCGATAACGATGCATTCAGGTAAATTTTTTTTGTTTATAAAATGCAAAATGAAAATAAAACCCGACAGAATTCCAAAAAAATAAAGCAATGGAAAGCAATACTGGGAATTTGATTAAGTTAGAGGTAAAATTTATTCATTTATCTTACATTTCCAAATCTTATGTTGAAATTGATTAAAATTCTTCGACAAGTTCAAATTCGGAATTTAGTATCTTAAAAACTGTTGATTAAAAATGAAAAAGCGGATAAATTCATTATGTGAAACAAATTCTTTGGATTCTCTAACTTTTTATTAAAATATTGTCATGATATTTGATTTTAAAAAAAAGTCGAATTTTAACTTATAATGAAATATTCCTGATTTAGGAAAGATTCCTATTCAAATCAACAAAAAAAGTTTAAAAAAAAGGGTTTTTTTTTTTAACTAAACAAATAAACAGAGGATTTGTTAAAGACATAAATATTTATTTTCACGATATATTTTATATTGTGAATTATTATGCAATTAACATGGTTTATTAAGTAATTTCTGGACATTTGGCAATGGCAGGTGCATTAAGTTCTGATAGCACCCGATTATATAAAAATTCATTATCTAAGCACTGCCGTTCACTACCAATTTAATTTACTTTTTCAAATTGGTTTCAATGTCACTTATCAAGGGTGTTTCGTAAAAACTACTCTTAATACATATTTTTAGAATATTTATCAAAAAAGAAATCATTGCAAATCGCACATTGGTATTGAAGAAAAATCCTATCAATCTGGCAAATCACAATTAAAGAAGGCAAGTATACAAAACATAATAAATAATTGAAATTAAAAAAAATGCATGATTGCAGGTTGAAACTTGAAAGGTGCTCCTAGTAATCGTCTTTCAATTGTCTGCGTTTCCTTTCGCAATCAAACTGGTTTTGGTATTTTTCGTCATATATTCCTCTGTGAGATTTGTCAGGTTTCGAGAGTTTTTACTTTTCCACGCTTAAATATAAATTTTATTTTATTTTATGACCGCCGTTGAACAGTCGACCCAACTTAAATATAAGTTTGCGACCCCGAATGTACATACTTTTACCTTTCTCATAATAATAGATTTCGTATTCTTGATTAAAAATTCATTTCCTGTAAAAATAGCTGACGCTTATATTTCGTACAAATAATTATAAAATTTTTTTCTTAAGTTTGGATAGTAACACATAGTTCGACCTAAAAGAAAACAATTTGTAAGCGTTAATTTTTACCTCTTTATCGTGTAATTATGAGATAATTAGGGATCTTGCAACACTTTTCCCTAAAATTTCCTATTATAAAAAAGGAAGAGCTGGAGTTTTGTGTGGTACCCAGAGTTGTGCTGATCTTCATCTTCAACAATATTAAGAAGCTTCTACCCTCGCCATCTTTGATTTTAGATTAACTTTTTAATTTGTGTTTTTTTTTTCGATATTCTAGTTTCTAGTATACTTAAAATTTTTTTTGATGATATAGAATTATTAAACAGCACAATACCATTAAAACAAAAATTAGAAAATAAAAGTGTGAGCTTTATTAGATTAGGAAAAATAGCACTTGATAATTTTTAGTACTTCTAATGAATTTTTCCTCAAAACTTCAGAGCAATAAAATGATGCGATTTGTGGTTTTGAGTAAGTAATTTAAAACTACACGTTTCTTAGTTTCTAGATTTTTTTAAATCCAATTTTATTATGGTTTTAACTGATCAAAACCGATTTGGATGATGCTAAAAAATTCTTTTAACTTTATCTGCATGAAAACAAAGATTTTTCTAAAAATAAGAAAGATAAAATCTAAAAACAAAAAAGATAAAAATCTGAAAACAAAAAGATAAAAATCCGAAAACAAAAAAGATAAAAATCTAAAAACAAGCAGTAGTATAATACTATTAAGCTACCGATAAAAAACTGTTGATTGCAAAATTGTATAGGCATAATTTTGTCGCAGAAACATTAATAGAAAATACCTCCTGCTTTATATCTCAAATTGTGATTGGATGATGGCCTAGTAGTTTATATGCATCGAAATGCTTACTGTCAAATGTAGTATATATATCTATCATCAGTTTATTTGTGAAAAATAAATAAAAAGGATTAAATGCATATTTAGAATTTTCCCTTCCAGTCTCCATCCCTTCGATAGTTGAGTTCGGTCGGGAGAGGAAGGCCTCTTAAAATAATTCAATAAAGTATGCTTTAATTTGATCTGCTTGATATATATATATATATTACAACTATGAATCTCTCAGTTGCAAATATCATTATTATAAAAAAAGAATTTGTGAACAATTAAATAATAAATTTTAAAAAATGATGGCCTGAAGGGTGTGGCTGCAGGTGCAAGTCCCACAGGACACCTCTGGCTCCTACAGAAATGCAAGTGATATGTACATTTTATTTGCCAAGGAATTATAAAGTAAATGTTAATTTTTATACTCAAAGTTTCAAGAGTAATGTGCACCGTAAAGTTTGGGTTACTTTAGGACTCATTTTAATTGAAATATAGAACTCTCAAATATATTAATGGAAAATATAACTGAGATATTTTGCAATTGTGAAACTAATTATACTTTTAACATTGTTAATTATAATTTTCGCTATTTTTTTTTTTACATGTATGAAATTTGAACAAAATTTAAAAAATAATTAAACTGTACCATTTAAGATATTCTAAATTCCAGCAAGTAGTGTTGGTTTTTCCAATTCTTACTTCTGTTGATTAATTAAAATTAATTTTGTTGATTACATTGAGGTTTTCCACGAGTTGTGTCCTCAAATTTTTCTGTGATCCACATTATTCTATGTTTAAAATTTGAAATTGTAGAATGTTAAATATTCTAAAATTGAAATTGCTTTAAATAAAGCATAAATGACACCGAATTCTACGATAGAAAAGAGGAAAATATCAGATTTCCTAGCGGCAAAAAAAAAAAAAAAAAAATTTAAGAAGAGGGCTCCCTCAAAAATTCCTGCCCTTGCTATCCCATCGGTGAAGTTACGGTACCTAACTCTAAAACTTGCGTTTCATACGGCTAGAAAATACCCCGAGAATAAAACGATCATTTTGGAGAGGAAATTTGGGAAATATCCCAAAACAGGAATTGATAATCTTTCTTCTTCATTTAGTTTAAAATTATTATTTTATTATTTCAGATTTAGTATTTCCATGTACGTTTTTTTAATGTTTCTGAATCGTCAAAGACTATTCTGTCTTAAAACTTCACTATTGTTGCATAAAGCTGGAATTTTTTTTAATTTCAATTTAATGAAATATGCGCAAAATATTAAAACGAAGCACCGTAAATAACTTTTGATCCTAATGTTCGGATTTTCACGTATTAAAAATCAATCTTAATGGTTCGAGGAGATGACATTAAATCCCACTTTTTATAGGTCGAACGATTTAGCTACAACAGGCCTTCGAATCTTAGCTACTCGGTATTACACCACTTTCCCTTATACATTAATATTTATTCTTTGAGCTTCTTAAAGATTGATACGAACAATTTCGTTTAAAATGTATCATTGATTTTCTTTCCGATATGACGTACATATTTATGCAAATGACTATATTAAAGAGAAGACAAAAATTTTATAATGAAGAATTTGTCTTTTATAAATAAAGGCAAATTTCTAAGGATTAGTTAATGCTGAATTAAAATAAAAGTATAGCAGGGTATAAAGTAATAACCTTAGAATCTTTCCTTCTTTATTTCAAAATTAATGGCAGCCGCCGCGTTGGCTCATTCGTTAAAGGAATTGAGCTGCTATTAAGAGCTGGGGGGCTAGATCCTCAGACGCGGCTTGTTTTATATCGAAGGGTGCCAGCTTGGCAGGAAAGGTGGCATAGTGTGCAATGCTGATCACATAGCTACAATCATGTCATTGGTCCCGAATTTTACATCTTTAACCTCGATTCAAACCCTCTCGCCAACAACAGGCTGTTTTACTTTATTAATACCAGGCCATACAGTGCTAAAAATATCGGATATTTTACCCTCAAGGAAAGGAGGGTAGAAAATATAGTCCGTGGTCAGGAGAGAAGTTAAAATTTTTGGGCCCGGTAATGTCACTGAATGCGTACTTGGCCCCATCTTTATAGAACTATTTAAGAAAATATAAAAAAAATTTCTCCACAATTATATAACTCGTTTATCCAAACATAACGTAACGATCAGTGTAAATTTTTTTATTTACTTTAATGTTGAAATGTTTGAATTACAAGGTACCTAAATATTTATATAATTTTAAATGGTTCAATTCTGACAAAATCCAAAATTAGCACCAAACTGAGTAATTATTGGTGAAATTAATAGTGAGTTGAGTAGAAACTTAAAAAAAACTCTTAATTTCATTACTCAGAAACTATTCGGTCGATTTCACTCAAAATTTGTATTGTGTCATGCAAAATATTTGTAAGCATTAAAATTTAAAAATGTGTCGACCGTTTTTAAATTCAATAAAAAATAATTATAAAACTTGCATGAAATTATCGTTTGATAAACCAGTCTCAAAATTGTGTATTAAATACTTTTAATTCACTTAGTAAATTGACCCGGAGAAAAACGCAAAAAATAAAAACTAGCAATCACAGTCCCAAATTTTCGATCGATATCCTGCCTAAGCTATTAGGGAATAGGGAGTCTAGAAGTAAACGCATGTTTATTCAGATAAAACGCGTTTTTGTGTGATTATAGAGACATTAGGACAGCAGAAGAAAACTAGGATCTTGAACCATTAAGATTGAATCTTAGTAAACGACAATCAGATCACCAAATCAAAGGTTATTAAGCTGTTCCGTTTTTATTTTGCACACTATTCAACCATTTTCAAAATAGTGGGACAGAAAACATAGAACACCATGATGAGGGCCAACATAAGTAATTTTCAAAATGCATTGTATATTCAAACTCTATAAAAAGTAATATGAATGACTTACATATGCATAATCGAGTTTTTCTTTACTCTGGTGCAGATATTATAAAAAAAATTTTTTTTTTCAATAACGGCAGGCACTGAACTTTCGTTCTTCGCCTTAGAAGATGCCGGAAGTGTAGCTCATTTATCGTTACCCAGTTTGCACCTGTGAACCAAAGTCACGGAGGCGAGCAACATTACCCATGATTTTATAAAAATGTAGTTATAAATTTTCAAAGCCATGCCAAGAACTTCTAGGAACATAAAATAATAAACAAGAAAACTGACATGAATTATCCTTTAGAAAACAAAAAAATATATACTAATACAGTTACAGATTTATGTAATTATTGTTATTAGAATTTTGTTACTATAATTTATTTCGTTTATTTTTCTATTTTTAGAAATTTTCAATTTATTGAACAAATTTGGACGAAAAAAATATCACTGCGAATGCTGAACACATTGTTATTAGTAAAACTTACAATAAGAAATGATTAAAATTTGGTGCTCGAAAGACAATTTAGGAACCATGTTAAAAAAACTTCAAGGGTCGCTTTAGGTTCACATATTGTGATCAGGGTTCGTGATTTTTTTGATTTTTTTTTTAAAAAAATCAAAAAAATCGGATTATTTTGATTTAAATCGGATTTTTTTGATTTAAATCCGATTTTTCTTGTTTTTATACAAATACACTATAAGAGCTTTAATTTAAGATTAAAAAAACTTTATAAATGTTTAATCAAAATTAAATTAATATTAAAAGTATATTATAACAATATTTTAGAAGCTCTAACTTACTAAAATAATTTTTCATTATAATGCATAGGGACCAATTTGATACAAAGGCATGATTGAAATTAAAAGACAAGATAAAATAGATAATTTAAAGAATACTACTTTAACTAGTAACACAAAGTTTCAATTAGCACACCATAATTTTAATTTAAAATTGTGATCTCTTTTTTTCTCATGATTTATAAAATGGCAAAATAAATGCAACAGATTGTGTTTATAAATGTCATTCATCAAAAAATAAACATTCAATCTATATATTTTTATGTTAAAATTTTCATATTTAATCCTACATGAAAATACATAAATTAAGCTAAAAAATATTTTAAAAAAATCTATGTACTCATTGGAATTTTTTTTCACAAAAGAAACTCTGATAATTTCAAAGATACCGTAAACATATTATGAGAAAAAAAATACCAGTTAATAACTCTACTGCTTCAAATAGACTTTGAAAGGAAAGATTGTTGTTGTTGTTACTTTACGTCGCACTAGAGCTGCACAAATTGAAAGGAAAGAATGACACTATTTTAGGAAAAAAATATCTGAACTCTAGCTTTTTTTTTTTCTTTCTATTTTCGGCATATTAAGGTAATTTCTTTTTAATATAACCTCAAGCTTTAGAAATATAGAAATTTCCATCAATAAACTATAATGTAGATTTGAATTCATGCTTTTTTAATCAAAAGGCAGAATTTTAATTAACATTTGCTTTTTTTCTTTTTGAAAAAAAATTATGTTTATTTACTTCCTACAGCTATGCAAGTCTATATTAAGACAGCATTAAATATTTACTTTAATCTGTACTTTCAATGTTAAGAATCAAAAGATTTTTAAACATGTAATTTCAAATGTGTTTAACACACAACAAGAAAGAAAGTAATTTCCTTAACTAAAATTAATTAATGCAGCAGTTTATTGAAAATAAATTTTAAAACTAAGAAAAGGAAATAATAAAAGTATCAATAATTTAAAGCACTGTTTTTTAACTTTTAAAATCAATATAATAATATATATATATAAATCAGTTGATTTAAATCAATGATTTTTTTAAAAAAATCATTTGATTTTAATCATGATTTAAATCAAGCTGATTTAAATCAACAAACCCTGATTGTGATCCCTGCAAAATTGAAAATTCCATAAGCATATATCTCATTGCCTTATTTAAAAATTAAAAACAGGAGAAGGAATTATTTGCATTTTTTGCCCCATTAAGTGAAACAAAATTATACACACAATTATAAAATTAGTTACCCAAAGGTAAATACAGGAAATTTTTTAATTGAAATACAGTTGCACTATGCAATTCTAAGTAAAGATATAAATATTTTAAAATAAATACCAAATCTCATTTTTGAGCCAATTTTTTTTAATCAAATTAAAGTTTGCCAACGCATACAGAATTAGATAGTTTAGTTCCAAAACGATGTTAAAAATTTGCATGATGGCATGGTAACTTCAGACAAAAACCGTGAAATTTATAAAACTTGTGTTTAAAAAGCAACTGTTAAACTTTTAACTAAAAACTATTCAAGAGATTTACAAATAAAAGACAATATTTTGCAACAAACTTCCTCTAATTTTCTTTTGAAAAGCAAAGCTACCAATTTAAGTACATTTCACATAAATTAGAACAGCCAATTCACATAATTCGATTTTCAAGCTATTAGAATTTTTAGCTACAAGTAAATAGTGATTATGTACTTTCTTTAAGTATACAGTACGGTTGCAATTAGCTATCCTTTTTAAACCTATCAACATACTAAATAAAATGAACCAGAACGTATTCTATAAAGGTCTAAACAGGCTAACTTTCATAATTTGCCTGTATATTAAATTCTTTCATTTACAAATTTGAATGCAATACAATGCAGTATTGATACAGTCATCACTGAAATCTTATTTATTACACGCAGGTGTTCTAACTGGTTGTCTATTGTGCAGTTTCTAGAACAAGGTACAAAAAAACTAATCTTCTTAGTTGTTAATTTTTTTTAACCTTTTTAATTTTAGAAAATTAAGCTAAAGCGAGTACATATCTAGAAAAATTAACATGGAATTAAAGGCAAAAGGGTCAGGACTTGGTAAAAAGTAGCAGCAAATTAAGTGAAGAGTAGTACACATCTCTTATGCTTAAAGCTTGCCTATTCTGGTATAGAATTAGCAATTTACATTTTACGAAAAAGCTTTGGATTTAGGACTACATAGGCTTCGTAATCCGCCAAAGAAAAAAAAAGAAATTTTTTGGAACAGTATACAAATACCATTTTACTTTTAAAAAAGTCTAACAGCAAATTAAAAAATATTATTTACTCTACTTTATTGTAATAAATGCAAATTTTACAGCAAAAGAATAATAAAGTATAAAGGAAAGTTTCCCTACTTCTCCCAAATTAGCATTATATAGAAAACGCTCTAGCGAGTAAATTAGGATGCTTCTTCACGAGATCCATGCAGAAGAATCAAGTCGCTGAGTACTTTCGTTAAGTTCTCAATATAATTTTTGAACATCTTTTGTAAGGATATAGAAAAACTAAAGTACTTTTATACTATGTAAAGTACTTTTATATTTTAAAGAACTAATTATTTAATACACTGTGATTCTTAAGCAACTTATTTTGCTATATTCTACTTATTTCTTTGCTAGCTAACTACTCTTTGAGGTCTTTTATAACACTTAGTTTAAATGTTAGGTAATTTCTTAAATCATACCGGTACAATTTTCTGGATTAACTTTCAATCAATACCAAATTTTCCATCACATGAGTATTGCAACAATTGAGAACTCTGTTTAAAAAAATTTAACTACTTTGATATGCCCTCTTTAATTTAACTGACTTTTTGATAATCTATACATGAATCAATTGGAAATAAACTGTCTTAATAAATTGAATGATATTTAATATGTTTAAGATGAGACTTATTATCCTTAGTTTTAAGGCGCAGATGTAATGAATTGGGCAACCAGTTTTCTGAATAATATCACTTTCAGACACTGCGAAAATAATTCATTTTCAGTACTTACTGCACAAATCTTACTAAAATAATAATATAGGTAGATGAATTATTATTTTATTATTAAACTATCTCAAGTGTGGCTGTCAGTGATTTGTGGCTGATAAAAATTTAAATACGAAAAGTGGTACCATTTAAGCAACTCTCCTATTCTATTTTTTCATTTTCATAGAACAACAATTCCCAAAAGGGCTGCAACAATGAATCCTGTCAGTAAGGCTACTGGCTTGAACCAGGCATATAATCTGTAGAGAGTTCTTAAATTGGATCTATTGAATTTTGCAATTTCTACTAGCGCTATAAAAAAGTTGGATCAAAAATTCAAATTTTTCAATTCTTCAAGTGTGTATTTCTTAATAATCCCCATTTGTATTCTCAGAAATAAAGATGTTCCGAATACACATGAAAAACCAGGACAATCAAGAATAACTGTGAATCCTGGACTACATGAACATTATAAGGTAAGAGTTTTATTTGAGTATTCTTTACAATTAGAACTAATCGTAAAACAAGACATAACAAAAGTGGGCCTTTCATTTTTGCATAACTTTGTTACCTTAAATATGCTTCTTTTCCACCAGTATTTATGCCATTAAATTTGGTCCTTTCATTTAAATAACACAAGCACTAAGAATAAATTTCAACATATCCTAATCATTGATTCATAGAATGTAAACACATGGTTCTTCAGAATTAATTTTTTTCCCTTTTTTTACACTTCATGAAGTCTGAAACAGTTAAAGCTCATTAGTAGACATGCAAAGAAACGTTTTTTTAAATTCAAATGATAGTTTTAATAGTGAAATTACAAAAACAATTATACATTGTCATAAAAAACAGAATATCCAGAGTGTAAATAAAATTTTATAAAATGTTCAGTAGGTACGATGCAATCATGAAACTAAGATGTATTCTATGAATTTTAACATTTAATCTGTGTCGTTTTGAGATTTAACTAAACGTCTGGCTCCTCGATTAGTTGGACCTTTTGGCTTGGAAAACTTTTGCTTGAAAATATTTTGCTTAGGATGGATTTGATCTAATAAAAACTCTTCAGTAAGTTCCTCAGGATCATCAATTTCAATCTAGGAACAAAAAAATTTAAATAAGTACAAAGAAAATTTAAAATGGTTACCATAAGCAACTTCATTTTAAAAAAGTTATCTGTCACACTGATAAAGTTTTAAGTGCAGCGAATAAAGCAAAGAACATTTAGTGGAATTGTTTCTTGTCATATATTTTATTATGTTTGCTATAATTTTATGAGAAATACCTCCTGAAAATAGAAAAAATACAGCTACTTATAAACTTTACCACACAAGAGAAGAGATCAGAAATTCTGGTACTACAAAAATTTATTTGAGCAGTATTTAACACTGAAAGACAGGATTTAATTATAGCATATTTTCCAGGAACAGAAAAGAACCTGGCAGTCTGGATTAAAGAGCAGGATGTTGTCTTTTTCAACTGTGATGATACACGACGGAAAACATTAAGCTAAAATTACCAGTTAATTTACAGCATTTTGAGATTTATTGAAAAAAGTAGATATTGACCAAAAAGATTAAGTTGCTTCTTTCCTTTGACTGCCTTCCTCAAGACTGTTGGAAAAGTAGGCCTATATCCATTGTCTTTAATTGAAATGACTTGCAGAGTAAAGGACTGATTTTCAAGAAAAACCTTATCTTTTGCAGTGATTCTGCTTAACTTCGGAATTTATGGTGTGGGGAATGAGTTGTTACAGACCATGTCAACCTTCATCTATGAAAAGGTACCCCAACATAGAGTCGAGTTAACATGTCTTATATACTAGTGAATTGTAGTTGTAATTTTGTAGTGGTAGATACGCTAGAGTAGTCCCCCACCAGAATTATAGCTATGATAGAATTCGATGAATAGATGCCACTAGTTGATTCATTGCTGTTTTGTGCGAAGCCGGGAGAGCTGTATTAAGATCACCATATTTTTTTTTAGTGCTGAATGTGAGAGGTGTATTAACTTCACGGTCGTAGTCGCTCCTGTGTTGCCTTTAGCAGTCGAGTGTATGCAGGCCGACGTTGTGTGCTCGAGACTGAGTAGCAACAGTGCGAGGAGATGGATAATGTTGTAGTCACAAGTAGCAAGTCAACTGTTCAATGTGGATCATCCATCGAAGTAGGCGTTACTGTCTAGGTAGGCGTGTTCACATCACGTCCGGGTCACCAATGTGGGGAATGAGTTGTGTCGGAAGGCATACGTTACAGGTTTATGATCAGTGTATATTGTGAATAAACGTGCTTCAAGCATATGTCTAATATGTTTAATTGACAAATATACCGCGAGCAATTCCCGATCATAAGCGCTGTAACGCGTTTCCCTAGGAGTAAGTTTTTTGGAGAAAAATCCGAGAGGTTGCAAATCGTTACCTATCAGTTGGTGTAATGCCCCACCAACGGCGAAATCTGAAGCATCGACGTGCAAGACGAGGTTAGCATCTGGGGAAGGGTGGGCAAGAAGCATTGAATTTCGAAGTAACGCCTTACAGTTATCGAAAGCTTCGGTAGCGGTTGAGGTCCAATCGATGATTTTGTTTCGAGCTGGGCTACCTTTTAACAGATCATGTAAAGGTTTTTGAATTGCTGCCGCGTTAGGTAGATGCCTACGATAAAAATTTAATAAGCCTAAAAATCGCTTAAGCTCTTTGATCGTATNTCTAGGTCCTTACTCAGCTCCTATTTACAGTAATATCCAGTGGAACCCAAATTCTACGTTTTTCACTTGTTTATTGTTTTCAGATAAAACTTTAACAATATCCTTCCCAAAATTTACCATTGTTAGCAAATTTGCTTAACTTTCGCAAGGATCATTTCTGATCAAGTTTACTGTTAATGAAATTAAAAGAAAATCCAATGTGGGTAAATCCTCCAGTACTCCTCTTCATAGTTTTCATTACCTTCATTCTATGAGCAGGCATTAAATAAGAAATTAAAAAGCAATGGGATGTGTGTTGCAGTCAATATACATGTCGACTTCGAAAGAACTTCTGAAGGACCAAGGTTCTGTTGGATACAGAGCTGCTTGCTTTATTAAACCCATTTGTAATGCATTTTAATTTTAGTTGACATTTTGCAATGCTGAAAAAAAAATCAAATCCACAGCTTCCTGAACATTTATTATTGCTTCAGAACAATCTTGCAGATCCCCGAAATCAAGAAAAAAAATTACCTAACCAGTTTATTAGTACATCGTTCTTTAAATAATTGGATTATTCCAGGATTCAAGGGTTGAAGTTAGCTGGAAAAATTTTCACTAGCAAATTTTACAATTTAAACTCCCATACTTCCTTGCTCATCCTACCAAACTTCTAATTTTGATGCACGGTGAAATCGCCTTTCACACATAAGGAAAATAAAATCAAATTAAAATAATGTCAAAACAGCTATTAAACAAGTATTCTTTTTCTAAGATAAAAAAAAAGAAACTTAGAAAAAGTTTATGCACGCTTTACAGAGAAAAAAATTATTTTGATCTGTCAGATAAAAAGGGAAAATTTCTTAAACAGGGGACCCACTCTAGTTTTTTTAAAAGAATTCAAGACTTTTCAAGGACCTATTCAGTATTACAATTATATGCTAAATTACATGTCAACTAGATTTTCAGTTACGTAGAAGCAGAAATTGTATATTTTTAAAGCAGAATGCTTATTTGACAACAAAATTTTTTTTATTAAATTTATCATTTAATAATACTTTTGCTTCCTAACTTGTAGCTTCCTATATTTTAAAAAAAAAATTTCAACCCATTTGTGCCTAGCAATCTTTCAAAGTGGCATTTTTTTCAAATAAATGGTAACACAAATGCTTCATTATTGGGATTAATTTTATAGAGACAAGATAATTTATAATAGTTGACATAACTTTTTATAATTGGATCTGAAATCAGAGCACTGTGCTTTAACAAAGCTACAGACAGAGATAATATAATGAAATATTTATTTAATATAGACAAATGTGTACTACCACTTTTAACACATAGGTATTTTTCATATATGGACAATATCTTTTAGCTGGGTATAAGTGAGTTAAGACAAAAGCTTCTTGTGATATTTACAAAAAAATACGAAATAATAGTTAGCTATCAACAGAGAAAAAAATTTATGTCAGAGAATTTACCTTTTTGGCGAGATCTATTCCAATTTTGTTTTCTATCACATTCAATAAAGGAGCTTTGCAGCTAGAATAAAGCATTCTTTCTCTAACAGGGCAGTTGTAGCCAGGAACAGAATAAATAAAAACTGCAAAAAGAAACAAATTAAAATATCAATATAGAATCATCTTAATAAAATTAAAAGAAAAACATAATTGAAGTACTAAATAATAAACTTTCTTGCATTAAGCTGAATTCAATCACAATTGTTTTAAAGCTGAGATATGATTAGTCACTTGATTGATGAGTCACTTAACAGCAACCACTATTTGAAAATGTACATGAAATAGCTCTCCTTGAACAAACATATTAATAGAATTAGAGGCCGGAATCTTAAAATTTTTGACAGTGAAAATAAATCAGTAAGGATGAATCTGCACACCTTGAACTTTTTCTAAACTCTTTTTTTTTTAGACACTTAAGTAGAGCTCGTGCTGAGCATTCGCCATCTCGTTAAAAGCAATAGAATTGTAAAATCTGACAAAACAAATTCTTTTTTGGCGAAAGATTTTTCTACCAAAAAGAAATATATATATTCCTCTCATTCCTGAAAATTACGTTGTTGACGCCTTGGTGAGTTTGAGTAACACCAAAAAATTTAACCCTTTCACCAACTCATTTTAGTATGTTGGTTTCAATTGTGAATCACTTTGATTGCTATTAATTTCATTTTGTGGTAAGTATATGTCTCTATGGTGAAGTTTCAGTTCATCACAGCCATATGACTGTTGTCATATCCACTTAGGATATGTTATATTTTCTGTCAATTATTAAATAAAGAGTTATTTGTTCATAACTTTTCTGTCGTTCGTCATAACCAGCATTTGATCATCATTGGTATTAGTAATAAATTGACAACATACATATACCAATATGAATTTTAATTAGAATTTCATTAAGTCCAGATAATGTTAATAAGAAATAAAGTACACATAAAAAACTCTGTAAAATACAGATTATCACGGCTGTTGCCAGATCACGCGATATCATATGTTGAAACTTTTTCTGCAATTTGTGTCAATAAAGTAGATTAAGTGGTAGTTAAATGCATATTATCAGTCAACTATTTTTCTTGAAAATATGTGTTCTCATGTCAATAACTTGTTGTTTATTAAAATAAACTTTTTGCAAAATTTAAAAATAAAAATGGTTGCTAAAGTAAGAAAATTTAACTGATTTTATCTTTATAGATTACCACATTCCAATGATAGACATAGTATAACCACCTCTACTAGACTGGTAATGAATATGTGTCCCGCCCATATTTTGATAAAAAATCTTTGCTAAGTATAAAAACTATTAAAACAGAATAAAATAACTTAACTTCAAGATCGATCTTTGTTATTTAAGTGATTACAATCGTGACAATAAAAAAAAGCAAGACAGTAAAAATAGTTTTATTAAAAAATAAAAGATTTTAAGAAAGAACAGTTTTATTTAAAACGAAATATGTTTATTATAAAGATACTAGAAATCTAAAAAACATAAAATGTCGCTGAAGGTTTATCTTTATATTACTGCTTGAGAAGTTATCAAAAATTAAGCTCAACTTATTCTTATTTCTTTTCCTTAAAAACTATAAAATATCAACATTTTTCTCCACTCTCTCATTCATTACTCGTTTACTACTCCCCAACTTTAAAATTACTTTTAATTCAAATTTGCACTTAATAAAATATTTCAATTTATAGTAAATTTGTATCTTGATTAAAAAATTTTCCACCTGAAAAAATTTATAAAAAATTTTTAAGATTTGCTTTTGACTAAGACTTGAAATTTGGCTAATACTTTTGATATTTGGCTAATTTATTGGCTAATAAGTCTTTAGTGCAGGTCCCTATTTAAGGTTCTAAGGAAGAAATTAATAAATATGAAATTCAAAGAATGTTGCTTATTACTTTACACTATGCCAAAATGTACTTAACATGATTAAAAGATTAGTTAAAATAAATTCAAAAATAGAAAAATATCTATAAATAGAGACAGTACTAGAAGAAACAAAAAAACGAAGTAAAAAAATGTCTTTTAAAGGTTTAAAATAATGTTAATAAAAGCCCTACTGAGTCTTGAAAATACCTTACAGATTAAATATTTTTTAACTGGTATTTCACAAAAAATATTAGTAGAAAATTGTAGGTGAGCCTCTTGGTGCTACATTCTTTAAAGATCAACATTTGTTTATTACGACAGTCAGCAGACTTAGATGCACAGCTAAGAGCACCCCTTGGTGAAATTGACAATCGATTTTTTCTGTTAATTTAAAAGTTGTTTAATTTTCCTTTACTTAATTTTTTTATGCATGCAACAAAAATAAACATTTTAATTGAAATACGAAAACACCTCACAGGCTTAACAATTTAATGTGATGGGCCATATGTCGGCCAGGCCTGTTTTAAATGGTGTTTAAGTAGTTTACTTTTTTAAAAAATTCTTCTGACTTAAATAATTATTTTGCTAAGACTTTATAAAACTTTTCCTAACAATCCAACAAGTTGGAAGTTTTTTTACTCCAACATTATGAGGATTACATTTTTACTATTAGTGACAACACATTGATATAGCTGCAATGTTGTACAGGTGTTGTAAAAATAGTTTCTTAGATGTAGCAATATTTACATCTCCATGAACAGAATTCGAGTTTTAAGTTTTAAAAAAAATTATCAAACATAAATCAATAGTTAAAATGTGTGTTTGTAAGATCAATTAGTGATAGGTTAAAGATTTTTCCTAAGGCTCTGTCACCACATGAAATAATTCTTTTTGTGAATAATATGCCATTTTTGTAAATGCTGAGAGTTTGTAAGAATCTTTCATGACAATTAGGTCAGGATTGGGCAATCTTTAACCAGCACCATATATGCTAATTCTTGAAAGGGTGCAAAATTTAAAGGGGCCGGGAGGTGTCTTGCGATATTCATCCACTTTTAGATGCACGTGGATAATTTTTTTCAAAAATTTTTTCCACACATGCGCTGTATAAAGCAACTACTTCAATTATTCTTATCTGGCGCAGTTTTTATTATTATTTTTTTAATTTTAAAGCAATAATTTCGTTATCAGTTTAAAATTGATTCAAACGCTTTGTTTAATTTTTTAAATATTTAAGCTATAGCAAATTAATAATTTTAAATATTTAAGCTATATTAAAAGTGGCACTAGACCTAGTATATGTTTCGGACATTTACTAAAGGTCTAGTCATACTAGGTCCGGTTAAGTGCTATTTCCCGGTATATCCTACATTGATGTTTTTTTAAGGTTCAGTGCCATTGCCCGGTATACCCTACACTGATGTTTTCTTAAGGTCAAGTGCCATTGCACGGTATATATTTGCCCGATACTCCAAACACTGATGCTTGTTCTAATCTATCGTCAGTAAGTATTAAAATATCGAATAAATGTAATTATATCCACGAATAAATTAATATTAAATCGGATGTAATAAATATTACGGACATACACCAAAGCGACTAATTTGATTGTCAACATTCACCGGTGAAAGTCAACAACCACTGATTTCGGTCATTCACAGTAACATGCACATCATTTACATAATAACCCCATCAGGACAATTATTTCATACTTTGCCTAAATAGCATCCGGCATTTCAAAAAATAAATGGTTTTGTTGGCGATGATCTCGTAAGGCGATAAAGAATCATGCATAGTACAGGTAAGGAAGATATTATATTAACCTCGAAGGAAAAGTGGATGAACAGCCCAAGGAACCAGGCCGGGATAGCCTGGTCAGTAGGGCGCTGGGTCCATGTCCGAGAGTTCAAACCCTGTCGGCCGAAGACTACCCGTGTAGTTGGTGACTGATGCACATTAAAATTCTGTTGAGTTGCAAAGTCCTCCATGTTCCCATAACAAATTAATACCTCTGGGGGTACTGGATTGGAGATCGATCGTTCTCTGATTTAGGTCAAAATTACGTTCTGTGGATGAATGAATGGATCCGCCTTATAAACGGGTGTGACGTATGATGTGGCAGAAGTTTAATTCTTGGCTATAGATGGCGCCAATGAAAAACAAGAATCGCACACTCTGCCTTAATTTTGCTCTGTTTTCACCAAGCAGGCTTGCCCGTGTGGCAAGTGGCATTAGAACCAACCAACCACAATATAAAGAAACGCCACAGTTTTGTGAAAATAAAATGTATTTGTAATGTAATTTTCTATTATTTAAAAAATTACTTTAACACAGAATTTTCCAGGCACATAAAAAAAATTTTAAAATCAATAATTTTGGACATTTTTCTCAAGGTGGGAAAATCTTGCCAAATTATCTATATTTAAGCTAATTGAATAGTTTTTTAAATATTAAAATTTATAATCTTATTTTTCTCTACCATATAGTGTTCTACAGCCCAGATAACTCTTTAAGGCTTAATGGCATAGATATTAAAATTATAGCTTTCCCTCGAGTGTAAAACATTTAAACAGTGGCTCTTTCTATTTCAATTATTTTGTTATTACATCTTAAAATCTTTTACAACAACTGTACAAGCTGGAAACTATGGGTTGGAGTGGTTGTTAATACTTTTAAATCTAAACCAATAATAGGTTTACCATTAAATGGTTAATAAGACATGTCCATTACTCTCTTCAGGAACAAAATAATAATTTTAATTTTCTTTTTATAATAGTAAATAATATAATAGTAAGTAATGTGATAGTAAATAGGAATATAATAAAGTATAATAGTAAATAAGAACACTTTAGAAAGACAAAAATTTCAGAGGAAAAGTTAAAGAGTGAATAATGATGGGAAAAAAATTAAAAATGCAGATAAAAATGCAGTCATGATATCTAAATTTAATGCAATAACTACATTAAAATTCCATAACATTTTGAACAGAGTGTTTGAATACTACTATGTTCAAGACATGATCCAGATTTGATCTAAAGGACTGTCTATTCACTGGTTATTTTTACTCTGAACCACAGATATAAATATGTTTTCAAGTTTAAAAATAGCATATAGAAATTGCATCTAGATAATAAATTTATAAGTTAAATAAATGAAAACATGAATTTAAATATATTAAAACTAAAGAATGAAGTAAAAGGATCTTAGTTGTTGAAGTAAATCAAATTTTCTCTATAGTGCTGGCATTTCTGACAGGTTATGCTTATTAAACTACGATTATATTACATATAATGATTTATTTATTTTTAATCATCAAATTCATTTTAAGGAAAACAACGTCTAAGTTTAACAAAAAGATTCATCAAAATATATAAAACTACATATTGTGGAATAATGCAGACAAATTATGCTTTTCAACTTACCTATACTGTTTAAGTTATCTCCCTCATAGAAGTGAGACATACGAAATAAATGATATCTAGCATGATCTGATGGAATCTGACTTGCTAAGGAGTTAACATCGATCTGTAATCTTTTCTCTAAATTAATTTCTTCTTTGTCCATGTCAATACTCTAAATACATAAAAATATTAAAGACTTTTGTTAGCTCAATTATAAATAGAATTTTTAATATTTATTCAGTTAATTGTAGAATTAACAATTCAAATAAAAGTTGATTACATAAAACACGTTAATTAATGAAATCGGAAAGTAAAAAATAAAATATATTCCAATGAACTCTAAGAACTTTTATGAGACATAAATTACATTAAAATTTTAAAGGTTGCTCAGTATTTTCAATTTAATTTTTATTGATTGAACATATTTTAAGAGACACAAAAAAAAATGTCCTCCTAAGAGCCACCTTAAAATTAGAAACATGTAAGCAAAAAAAAAACCTATGAATTTTAAACAGATTTCTTAAATTTGTCTCTCATTGTTTAACTGATGCATTAAATAATTTTTTAAAACAATTAAAGTACTTTCAAAAATTTTAGTGAGAAAAAATAAACAGAACTAATCTGTATAGTATCAACATACCTATACTAAGCCATTTAGGAAAAATAGTTATTTATAACAAATACGACGGGCATATTAGTTTTTTCACTAAATGATTTAAATTTGTTAAATATACGTTACAGAAGCCCTTTAATGAGTAATATTTTATATAAATGCAAATTCAACAGTGATTAGTCAATAAGAACACACAATTTCAAAAAGCTAAAAAATTTGCAATTAGAAATTAACTGTTATGAAATTTTATTTAAATGTACTGGTAATACTTAACATAAAGCATAGTAATGAGCTAAATCAATTTTCATAAATTTTTTTATAAAATCTTTTTTACCCATTTTTTATGAAAATGGCAGTTATTGCAACCTATTTCCACATAGTTATTATAATCTTAATGATTACATATCAATACTGTTCGGCGAATTTTAAATCACACATTTTAGAAATCACTTTTTATTTTGACCAACTCAATTAGCGAAGATTCCACCATAATATCACTTATAATCACTTATTTGTTCCAATCACAGTGTAAAGTCACGTAACCGGAATCGGTGGGACTTCCAGGAGTCCGTATAATAGATTTTTCCGTATAATAGACCCCAAGGTAAACAAAGCTTAAAATTATCTAATAAACGATCTGAATCTAAGAAGCAAAAAATAAATATTATTTTTAAGGGGAATAACGTTTTAGTATTAGAATATCTAATCAATCAAATATAAAATATTTATTAGAAAAAAAATATTATTGCTGAAAATTTAGAAAACTAAAAAAATTTGACAGTTATGAAAATATTAATCCACCATTTTGAACTAGAACGATTCAAGCAGGAAGGGGAAATTCATGTCATTCTGGAACAAAGCTTAAATATGATCTAAATCTAGGAAGCAAAAAAATAATAAACATTATTTTTAAGGGGAATAATGTTTTTAGTATTAGATTATCCAATCAATCAAATATGAAATATTAGAAAAAAATTATTACTTAATATATAGAAAACGAGAAAAAAAATTTACAGTTATGAAAATAATAATACGCCATTTTTAACTAGAATGATTCAAGCAAGAAATGGAAATTTCCGTCATTCATTAAGGTAGGTAGGTGGAGGAGAAAAATTCATTTCCTCCTTATCTGTGAAAGAAAATAAGTGTAAACAGGAGATAATTTAAGTTGAGGGCAGGGAAGTGACAAATTACTGTTTTCTCTCCAATCATTGGCTATCAATCAAACATAAAGGCGTGGCACGCTGATGGGGTTCGCTTTATTTTTTCTTTACTGAATCTTTTTTTACTGGAAGAATCTGCTAAAGAAAGAATGTTCCGCCTTTTTTCCCCCGCTTCCTAAATATTGCATGATCAGGGGAAGAAGGAACGCCTTTCAAGGACGTGTATCCTTTTAGACCTATTCAAACTTTCCACTTTGACTCCCCTTCTATGTTAACATTTGCAGCATTTACCCTTTTCTTTCAATTAAAAGGTTCCAGGAAATGCCTCCTTCACTAGCCAGCTGCATAGGAAAGAAGGGGGGAGGCGACTCAGTTGCGGTCTTTTGAAAACAAATCTCCCTCTCTTCCTGCATTCCAGAGTAGGAGCGTCAGTAATGGTCACTCAATGGTCTTGGTAGATCTCTTCCCGTTTGTGATTTATGGGATTCAGTGCAAGCTAGAAGAGAAAACGTGTCAAAAGACCTTTTTTTTAAAAGAAAGGGGAAGATGAAGAGATGTTTGTTTATTTTAATTGTTAAAAAGTGTCCGGGAAATCGATCCTTCCGGAAAAGGGACGTCCGGATATGGGACGTTACACTGTATAGCATTTTAAATTAAGACAAAGCAACTTGTTTTGCTGAAAATAGAACGTTGCTAAACAAGGCTAGCTGTCAAAAATAAAAGACAAGAATACTTTGAGAATTAAAAAGATGATTTTTGTTTCATTACGAAAATAATAATATGATTTAACTTACCATCTGTACATAGGAAACTCTGAGGTCTTTGATATCACAAAAAGCATTAATAACATCATCTGAAACAGGGAAACAAACTCCCTGCATGGTTTGATGCTTAGTATCTATTCCACCAGTCGCCTATAATAATTTGAAAGAAATATTTAGAAGCAATTAAGGAACTAATTTATTACATTGAAGAGCTAGCTTAAATGAGTAGCTAGCAATATTTCTTTGGATTGACATAAGTCAATGCTATGCACAAGTGCATTCCAAGCACCTTTCACTAAAGTGGCTGGTGCTTATCTCTTGCGTTTCAGACTCCATATCTCAGAAACAATCCTTTTATGGCATCAATGAGAACTTTTGATCAAATCACATAATTTAAAGGGATGAGCTAGTACATTATAGCTCATTAAAATGTAAATATGACACAAAGTCATAGATATCGTAGGGCAATTCTTATCTCACTAAGTCATACTTTAAGCTGCAGTGGCACACATTTTAGAAACTCCTGGTATGTACTAAAAATAACAAAATCTAGAAGTACTAGAATGTCTCATGCATAAATAATAGGGAGGGAAAAAAGGAAAGGTTACTAGTACAACCTCCAAACATTGTAATCCAGGTTTACCTCATGATAAATTCTTTTGTGGATATAACATTCCAGAAAATTAACAGATCTGGTTTTGAAGCAAAATGCAAATCAATCATAGAAATGTCACTTTTTTTCTTGGTATGCCAAATTTCAGATTTAAAAAGAATTGTGTGTCATTGAATTATGAAATTGAATGAAACTGTTACTGGCGAGATATAGATGCCTAGATGAAATTATTAAGACTATTTTTAAAATTTCTTTCAGGAAGATCATTTAGCAGTTTTGGTGTAATTCAGTCAATATTAGACTTAATAATTCATGAAACTAAATATTATTTAGTTGAAAGTTTAAGATTAAAAGAATACAACAGCTTATGTATGAACAAACATAAAAAATCAATAACATTTTAAACTACAGCATTCAACATTATCAATTTCATAATATTCCAGTAGTTAGGAAACAAAAACAAGTCCAATCGGGAAAAAATCTCAGGCAATTTTTTTTTAATTGCTTAGATAATGCCTCAAAATGAATTAGCTAAGTTTTCCCCCTCCAGGGAGGTGAAAGTTAACTCCCAGGTTGAAAAACGTGACCTGAAATACTGTGTTTTTCAAGATCTCACTATTTTTATTCCATATTGAAAAAGTGTAAACACAAAAGTTTTAGATTGGTAAATTTTGCATAAAAATAAGTAGCAACATGATAATGTTTAGTTTCAAATATGGTAACAAGACCTTTTGAATAAGTTTGCCTAGATTGTCAACTCTTTAAACAAATTTAATTTTTGCCAAAATTAATACTGAAATAAAGTTTAGTAATGTTAAGATCAAAGTTAAACATTTTGATAATATGTACTCTTGCTAGAAAAGCGGCCAATTATTATATGTTTTGACAACTCTTAATTTACTAATAAAATAAGCCCTGATTTAACTAAGTTCAGTTCCTTTCCTCTTCTATGAAAAGGTGAGCATATGTCAAGAAACATGACATGAAGTTTTTTTTTTAAATTGTTTTGTCCTCCCTTAAAGAAGTGTTCTTAGTGAGAGTAGAAATTATTTTTTACTCTATTTGTTTTATCAATGGTAATTTCCTTGATGTCTTTGTAGGGAATGTAATCTCTCAATGTTTATGGCTATGCAAGATTTTGGGACTTAAATTTACTAATCTTGGAAAATCCTGCAATCTCAGATAAGCATTCCATTTTAACTTGAAATTAATAAGCTACAACAGACAACAAAGAGAAATATGAAAAAACTAAAGAGCTTATAAACAATATGATATTTAATCTTTTGTGATGAGGTTACAAACAGAATTATGATGTTTAATTACATATATTCACTTTACGTTATAAAATATTAAAGTAGAAAATAGTGACTCCAATGATTTGCCTCTTAATTGAGATTCAATTTTAGAGCAAATAAAACACTCCATGAACAAACAAGTATGATCTTTTTAATTTCTTTTAAACATTGTTTTTCTAAACACTAACTTCGTTTTGAATAAAACAATTATAGACAAATAACTTTTTAATTTTTAATCAAAATTTTTTTCCCAACATTAAAGTGATAACAAATTTCATTGTTTAATATTTGAATTAAACTGATATTGATTACCATGCTATTTAAATAATTCACTGGTCTATATAAAAGAACTGATAAGTATCTGGCAATGCTTTTAAGTGTTAATGTAATTTTAAACATATTTAATTATTTCACTACCAATTTAAACATTGTGAAGAGCTAAAACTTCGGGTTGGAGGCAATGCAATTATGGCAACTTTTACAGTACCTAATCCGCAGAATTCTGAATTTTTATATATAATCTGTTAAGATATAATTTATTGTTTTCTAGAAATATTCAACCTGCAAAAACATCTTTTCAGGTCAAGTTTTTTTTATTTATTTTTTTAATCAACGCTTACCTTGGACTAGACGGGAGGGAGAGAAGAAACTGAGGATAGTTAAATTGGACACATAACTTTTTAGCAAAAAAAAAGTCGTAAAAATATTAAAGAAGTAACCCATATTCAAACAATTGTGTTACCAAAATTGTACAGAAATAAACACAAAAAATAATTGTGTTTACTTCTGTACTAATTTTGAAAAAATCTGAAATCTGTTTAAAAAGGTGATAATTTAGGTAAACTGCCATAATAGATCAAATAAGTATACCTGAAAGAAAACATTGGCTGTCATTTTATGTGAAATATTCAGATCTACAACTTTTACATTAACAATATTGCACTATGAGCTTTGCACTATAAGCTAAAAGAGTACACAAAGTTTCATATCACAATTTTTTTTTACTTAGGAGCAGATGCTCACATCTCTGGCGGGATAATTTCAGGATTGTCATATTGATATTACCAAGGCAGTCAAAACAAAAAAATCTTAACCAGTAATTTTCACTGAATCAAAACCCCTAACTACCACCATATAAGTAGACAAAGAAAACAATGTCCATTCAATAAAATTTCAAATAAATGAGGCAGGGTGTAAATGATTTTAATCAAATGATTAAAATCATTGATTAAAATCATGATTTAAATCAAATGATTTTTTTAAAAAAATCACTGATTTTAATAAAAAAAAAACAATTTTGTGTATAGTCTTGAACATTTTTTGTATATTTTTCTAAGTTTCAAACATAAACAAGTAAGTAGACTGTTCTATATATTTCTCAGATCTCACTCATATAATTCAACATTTCTACTTTCAATGTGACTCATTTGCTTTTAAAAACAGTTTACATATTATATTTATAGTTCATTGAGCAGTTTACATATGATTACAGCTATGATAGCAGCATGGAACATTACAAAACAAAAACAACAACACCAGCAAATAATTAGAGCTAAATACAATGAGCTTAAAGGTACTGGATTAATTCGGCCAACTGAAGTGCGCTGGAATTCTATGTGTGATTCATTAGAAAGCTACATCAAGAATTGGTCAACTTTCATGCAAGTTTGTGAGGATAATAGGGATGATATCGACACCAATATCAGGTCAAAAGTCATGAATATGGCAATTAAAAGAAATGCAGAAGATATGCTTTTAATGTTAAAACCCATTTCTGTAGCATTAGATAAAATGCAAAAAGATAATTGTAGTTTATCAAATGTTGTCAACATCTGGAAAAATTTAAAGGAAACTCTGAAAGATTCTAATAATAATTGCTGCAAAAATTTTTTTACTAAACGATATGAACAAGCGTTAACACCAGCTCATTTCCTAGCTTACCTCTTGGATCCTAATTCTGAAGTACAATGTTTAACACTAAATGAAAAAGATCAAGCTGTAAACTTTGTTAAAGAAAAGTATGGAGAAACCTCCTTATTAAGTATTTTGCTAAAATTCATTGTACGCTCTCCTCCGTTTAATGGAACTTTGTTTGATAAAGAATCTCTAGAATCTTTAAACATCTTGGAATGGTGGAAATCAATTGCGCTTCTAAAGAACTGTGTAGGTCAAAAAGAGTTTGATGCAATACAGTTGTTATGTACTGCAAAAGGAACAACTGCAGGGATAGAGAGGATGTTTTCCACTTTTGGACTTGTACATACTAAACTACGGAATCAATTGGGTGTAGAAAAGGCAGCTAAATTAGTCCTTATGTTTAAATCTTTAAATAAAACTAATTAAATGATTGTTTAAATAATTTGATATTGTAGATGTAGAATTAATAATTATCACATATTGTTTGATAAACAATTTCTTTCTTGATTTGTAGTTTGAAATCACTTTGTTATTGTTTATTTCTTATTTCACCTTTTGCTTTTAAATTATTAAGAAATATTTTGTTGATAATGGTTAGTAATGTTTATTTCCAATGTATACCATAAGTAACAATAGTAATACAATACAACTTTAAATCTATGGTACACAAAATTGATTATATTCCATAGAATTGAAATTATAAAAAAATCATGATTAAAATTAAAAAAATCTGATTAAAATCAAAAAAATCCGATTTTTTTGATTTTTTAAAAAAAATCATGATTTTTATACACCCTGAAATGAGGATAAAACGTTTAAACTTAAAATATATATAAATTTCAAAATTGTTCACCTCATCTTTCTTTATCTGCTGCAAAATTGCTTCAGATGGACTAAGAGGGCAAGGAGCTTTTTCGCTTTCAATATGTTTCTTATAACCTCTTAAATTGACATCTTCCTAAATATGTAAAATTTATACACTAAGATTTGTTTATAACAGGAACATGAAAGTATGTAAAACTATTGCCATTAATAATGTTCTAAGAAAAAGTAAACAAATAAAAAAACATAACGAAACCTCATGTAAGTTGCTGAGATGAGAATTTGCTTTTCATGAAGAAAGTTTATGATCCTCTATTACAAACAGGCTTAGATTAGCCTATTTTTGCCTGTTTTGCAAGTAATGGTTGAAGCTATAACCATTCCAAAAAAAAAAAATAGTTTTTTTATTTTAGCTTAAGAACTCTAGTTTTGGTTTTAGCATGTCAATTTTTTTTTTAAAATTCGAGCATGAAAAAGATTAGAGAAAGATTAGAGCATTCTGTAGCATTAAAAATAAGACAAATACTTTGAAATCTACAATGTTAATTAGCAACAAATTTGGATAATTGGAATGTTTGGGAACAAAATTTTGTTTTATTCAAAATATATTGTTGCCTCTTCCACCAGCTATTCAGACAAATAAGAGTAGAAATGAAATTCATGCCTACTGAGAACAGCATAAAAAACTAACTAGATTGAATTGTTTAAAGTAGTATAGTTATAAGTTTAGAAAAAAAAAGTTCGAGCATATGGATATTTAAAATTAACCAACATGCATTTAAGTTGAAATGACAGATAATCTCAAAAAAATTAAAAGCCCTTAAAAAACATTTATATATGAGTAGTGAATCACAAACAGCTTCAAGAGGTTTCGAAACAATCTGACTTGTATAAAGAATAATATCACTTTAGAAGTGAGAAATCAAAATATTTTAAAATTACCATGTCAAAATTTTAATTCCAGAGAGAATTCAGGAAAAAGCTTAAATTCTTATGTTAAATCAGTCTAGGTATTAAATAACTTCAATCTACAAAAAATTAATAACATGAAGCTTTTTATAACAATTAAATAAACCTAATTCTTTATCAATACAAATTATTATATTTTTCTATACTAACTTTAACAGTTCCAAACAATTCATCTTTTATTTGTCCACCACCAAATTCCTTTTTAAGAGTAGCTTTGGTAGAAGCATGCAACATTTTTTGTCGCACCTGAAATAATACTGTATTTTATTACACTCATAGATAATTTTTCAGTTCACAAAATAAAACAAAGATAAGAGTTATGAAAAAAAAAACAGGAACAAAGAAAATTTTCTGTTAAAACATAACTTACTGGAGAGTTATCTGGAGCCCAACTTATAAATACCCATTCATAACCAGCTTCATTTGTAGAATCTAGTCGAAAAAATACATAACATGGTTGCTGGTACTCTATTAGAGGAAGGACAGATTTATCATAATGTATTAAATATTAAGGATAATAAAGTTGAAAAATTAAAATTCTGAAAACGTAATGAAATATCCACTAGATTTTTAATATTTAGCATTTTGAATTAAACTACACTGAACATTTAATTGAAGGAAAATATTGCATTTTTGGAAGCAACATATTTAAAAAATAGCTGTTTATACACATTTTCAAAGGGTCTATTAAAATGAATAACATAATTAGTAGACTGTTACTAACTGTCTAATTTTTTTTCCGCACTGGGTTGAGTCTAGTAATCAAAAGTTCTCTGGAAATAGTTCTTAATATTCTTTGTGATGCTTGCATAATTTTGAAAACATTTTCACTAGTGTATGCCATTTCAATTTTGATAAACATTTGTTTTAAATTCGACAATTATTTGTTTTGGAGCTATTTTGACACATTTTGCTCACTTTTGAGAAACCCCTTTTTACAATTTATGCCAGAGTCAAAATTTAATACATAAATTATGCCAGATCAAAATGTAGATCCAAAATTATTATCAATTATTCATTACTTAATCAAATTTTATTTTTAACAAAATAATAATTTTATCAATTATTTTAATCAAAAATTGGAATAACTTAACATTTTTAGAACATTAAAATAAAACAAAAAAAGGATATCTTGTTCCCATGTGCCCGTCTTCTCAAAGCTCTTATCTAAAATCAATTCCTCTGCAAAATAAATAGAATAAATATTACTTTTTAAAAATAGCATATCATAAGTATCTACAAAAAATAAAAATTTTCTTAATATCTATATTACTGTGACTTGTCAAAACATATGTTCAAAATAAAATGTTTCCATAAAAAAAAATATTTAAGAATAACATTTGGTTACAGCCACAAAAGAGCATTTAGAAAAGATTCTTTATAAAATAAAATCTCCATACAATTTATAATTATCTTGTTCTTTTGACAAATCTAGATAAATATTTAAATTTTAAAATTAAATAATTTGAACAAAACTTTTTTTCTAGTTCTTTTTCAATTTCTAAAGCTTATCCAGTATTCACAAACACTTCTTGATAGAAAAATATCTAGCCTAATATGTTCATAATTTCATATAAAAGTTATTAAAATGAAAACCATATCAATCTACATATTTTTCAATTTAAAAATCTAAAGTTTAACTTTTTATTTAGTAGAAGCTCAGAAAAATTATTTTTAAAAAAATTATTTGGCGACAACGAATATATAAATGAGACGATTAATTTTAAAATGTGATTAATTTATGAGGAACTTGACTTTGTACACGTAGCGTAAAATTTCATTCATATTTTTTTTGCTAATAACAGATTGCTAACCTTTCCAATTTTTTAACGATGTTTTTTTTTAGTAGTCTAATAATTTATTTGTAATTTAGTAAAGAAACTTGAATAAAACATTTTATTAAGTAAAATCATTTTATTCAACTAATGTTGAGTTTTATAAAAGCATGCTTCTGATAGAATGTGATTATATACATGATATATTATTAATGTGCTCATATTTTACTTTTTAGTTTGTTTTCGCAATAATTGATACAATTTCAATAATATACATACGTATGCATAGATTTGGACTAATATATTTATAAATTTCTTCAATATGTATTTTATAATTATTAATACGAATATGTAGTCAAAATTTTTAAGCATCTAAAAATTTCTCAACATATTATATTCGTAAGATATATTCGATTAAGACGTATATACTCTATAACAAAAAAAAAAGACGCACCAAGAAGGAGCTGTCCGATTGAAATGAAAATTGGTGGATAGGAAGACAATATACAGAATAGTAAATGATTAAAATTTCAGAACAATTGAATAATTTATTGCAGAGTTACAGTAACAAGTTCAATAAGGTGTTGACCCGCCTCTAGCCTGGATACAAGCTGCCACACGGTGTAGCATAGAGCGATAAAGCTCCTGGATGGTCTCTTGCGGTATTTCCTGCCAAATTCGATCCAATTGTTGAACAAGGTCATCAACATTCCGTGTCAGATACAATCGCCTTCCCATCATATCCCAGGCATGCTCGATGGGAGAGAGATCTGGTGATATGGCAAGCAAAGGAAGAGTTTGACAAGCTTGCAAACAGTTCATAGCAACACGTGCCGTATGTGGTCCGGCATTGTCCTGCTGAAAAACCAGCCCAGGGAGCTGTAAAAGGAACGGTAGCAAAACAGGTCTTAGGATGTCGTCGACGTACCGTTGTGCAGTAAGTGCACCTCTAATGACGACCCAAGGGGTCCGGCTGTCAAAGGAAATGGCACCCCAGACTATAATGCCTTGTTGAGGGCCGGTGTGGCATGCAATAGTAAAGGCAGGATCCCCCCTCTACCCTGTGCGTCTCCAAACTAGTCTTCGATGATCGTCAGGACACAGTTGGAAGCTGGATTCATCGCTAAAGACTATACGTCCCCAATCGGCATCATTCCAGCCTAATCGAGTCATGCACCACTGTAACCTGGCTCGGCACTGTAATCTGATTATTGCTTCTTGGTGCGTCGATTTTTTTGTTATAGAGTGTATATATATCTTAATCTTAAAATAAATTTTTTAATCACCTATTCAGAAGTGTTTTGCAGAACTATTTTACCAAACATTTAATTAAATTTTAAAAAATCTTTTTCTTTATGCAACTATGTATATTATTTCTTCATTAATCAGTTTTTTTAGTACTTTAATTTAGGTCTTGTACCTTTTTTATTTTTAACCACGGATATTCTTTCTCGCACTTTTGCAATTACCAAAAAATGATCTGAATCAACATTGGCACCTCTGTAAGTCCGAACATCTAATAAATTAGAATAATGTCTAGCTTCAATAAGTACATGATCTATCTGATTAGCAAATGATCCATCTGGTGCTTTCCAAGTAGCTTTGTGAATCTTTTTATGGGGAAAGCAAGTACTCCCCTAGATTTAGTTGAGACTGATTTTCTTACTCTAAAGGAGAAAAACTGGCGAACAAGTGTCAAAAGTAGAGAGAAGTGGATTCGAATTCAAAGGAAGGCACTGGCCCACCCTGGGCTGTCTAGCCAAATATGATGATGATGATGAATTTAGGTCTTCATTAAAATAAAGTTCCTTTTTAAATTATCATCCTGTTTTTGTTTAAAAGAAAACCTAGAATTATTGTTTGCTAGCTAAGAATAAAACCTTGTTAAAAAATTAGAAACATTTGGCTGTTTAAAATTATTTGATGCAAAACAGCTGACTATTTGCTAAGCTTATTACTTTTTTCGAAAATGAATATAAATTATTGATTGTATTATTTTTTTTGTTTTTGTTTCTGGTGACTTCAACATAGATTATCTAATATAGTGTTGCCGTTTTATAAGTCACTACGAAGAGTAAAGATGCCGAACATAAAAAGCTGTCCAATACGTAGCAAAAATTTTTAAGCTTCTTTAAATATCTCAGTATCGTAAATGTTGTCCTAGCATATTAGTTGTGAAATTAAATTTTTAATTATCGGACCATGTGTGATTCACAGAACTATCAAACTAATTATTTCCTTATATCTTTTACCCTTTCTTTATGATACTATGTACTACCCTTTCTTTATGATAAGAAAACAAAAAAAAAACATGTGGCAGTATTTGGTGGTAAATGTAGCTTATCGTAATTGAATAACATGCTGTGTGACATTTTATGGTGAATTTGAGAATGTAAGTTTCAGAATGTATCCAAACACGAGGAAGCTACTTGCAAATAATCTTTATCCGAAGAAAACCACATAACCTAAATATTTAGCAGAATGAAGCAATTTTTAAAACAATGAATCATAAAATATGCAACATATTATTTCCATATTTTATTCCAAAATATAACATATTACAATGTTTCTAAAATGCCACTTAACATTCAGCAATTCCTTGAGTTATAGAAAAAAGAAATATCCTAAATTATAGAAAACCTTGTGAATGTGCATTAGAATTACTATATAATCTACATTTTATTTCTCAGGCATTTATTGCTTCTTCAAACTTTCTTGCCTAGAAGACTAGATTAAAGCTGTAAAAATGATTATTCCTAAGATTTTGTATATAGTTATAGTAAGTTATGTAAATTTGATTTTAGTATGAAATCCTCCTATAAATATGGTAAAATCATAAAAAATCCAAATAATGTCAGATAAAAAGTTCATGTATTTTAATTTTAAAAGCTTAAAAATTAATAGTAATTTATAAATCGATTCAAATTTTCTTTTCAAAGGAGATTAAAAGAAAAAAAATCTTTGCTTTTTAGACAGAAATCAGCTTAGTAGATTGCCTAGAAACTTAGAAATATTTTCTATTAACTATTAATTAAACCTCTCCGAGCAATCGCAGAACATTAAATTTTTTTTTACAGTCAGAACTTGGTTGCTTAGCAATGGAGTAAAACTAAGTATCCCTCTTTTGAATTAGTCTATGGGTTATCTTAATATGTTCATTTGCGGCGGTGACTTTTGTTGGCTGTTTACTGGACTATAGCCAAGTATATGAATCTTCATCGCGACCCAATGTTTTAGAAAATTTGTCTACCCCCTTTATTTCAAGGGTAAGGATTTCAAAAAGGAAAAAAAACAAAACAAATGCTTATTCAGAGAAACTACGTTTTTGTGTCTGATTTTGTAACTTAATTAATAGTGAGCACTAATTAATTAGCATATTTTAGGTCACCTCCCGGAACCATTAAGATTGACACTTAGTTCGTGAAAATTTGATCATTAGAATGAAAGTTATTCTGGGTGATATTTTTTTTTTTTTGCAGACTGTACATGAGGCTATCCTTCTGTATCTATGCATATTGCTATCCCATGATTTGTCATCTCAGTGTATAAATATATACATATATTTACGTGCATATATACATTTATATACATGGATATAAATATATACACATTAGTGATAAACCTTAGGTGCTATAACATGCTAAATGCACCAAAAATCATATATGGAAAACAAGAAAAAATTGTAATGCATAATTCTTGATAGCAGCTAAAATTTAAAAAAAAATAAAATTGCATAGCATGTTTATTTATAAACAAAACCGTTTTTTTTTTAAATAGAAAACTATACTTCTCCTGAATTAACAGCACAGATATCAAATAAAATAACCACTTTTTTTTAGCGTAGCTATAGAATAAATTTGAATTAGAAGACCTGATCTCCTAACGTCTCTGTTTTTAATGTCTTTTGTTGGTCAATCTAATTACTGAAAACTAATAAAGGTGCATATTACATGAATAAAGTAGAGAATAGCTCATAGGTCTCCAGAATACCTTAGTTATTTCTTAGTCTATCATCTTAGAGGACTAATTTTTTTATATCCTTCTCAACAATTTATATAAATTTTAAAAACATTGTTTGAAACGCAAATTTATTTTGGTCAGAATTTTATTATTTCTGAAAATTTTGAATATCTTTAACTTATTTAAATTAACCACTATTTAAATTTTGAAAAATTCATTTTTAACATTTATTCATTTGAATGAAATGTAATTGAATATTTTAAATTTAATTGTTTTTTACTTTCAAAAAAAATTTTTAAATGCTTTTTATTCAATAAATTTCCTTCAATTTTGTACATACATTTTTCTTTTTGCTGACCTTTTGTTTATGGCTGGTAGAGTAAGTGGACCAAAATGACAGGCTTCACCATGCAAACACCATAAGCAAAGGCTTAATAAAAGTAAAAATAAGAGTAATTTTCTATCAAAACATTTGATCTAATAAAATAACTTTACTTATAACATATAAAACAGTTGCTACAAACAAGATTTTAGTTTTTATTACAAAGTTCATTGCAACTTACCAGTAGTACTTAGTTACACAAAACAAATCATAACTAAGTCTTTCATTATATAAAAATTTCTAATATTTCAGTAAATTCTGTGTGTCAACAATTAATAAATTAAAACCTTCATTATTGCTTTAAATTGCTTAATTAGAACAAAATTGCTTAATAATACTTGTTGTTAACCCAAGTTAACCATATATAATAGTATTTGCTAATTTTTAAATTGTTTTATATATTAGTAACACACATACTATATAGTTTTCAATTACATATGTTTTAAACTTTCTGCAGCTAAGTTTTATTTTTAATCATCATACCAGAATTATATATTTGTTTAAATAAAAAAGATAGTGCATAATTTTGGCAAAGATCATCCAATTTTAAACTTTTAAGGACAACTGATATGGACGTTTTAGATTTGAACCTTTGTCAAATTATTGCTAAATCAATCACTAATTGCATTTATATTACTTATAACAAAAAATATACAAATTTCATATATATATTTTAAAAAAAGGGTATATATTATTTAAAATTAGGAAGCACTTAAGGTAAAAAAGAACCCAGAATTTTGAAATTCTGAGTCCCAAAAGTGCAGTGTAATCACTGACTACTTTTCTCAAACAGAATTTATTACTTTACATATAATACAAATGCATACTTCTTTTTAACATTTAGAAATAAATTTAAAATAATTCATTAAATAAACTTTGGTATATTAAATGGACATATTATCTGTGGTTGATAAGATGAATATGAGCTTAATGAACACAGATCCTATTTTGTTCATTGAGTGAACATTTGCCTTAAATATATCAGTCTCTTAAATGCTTATTCTCCTGACGAAGAGTGAAAAGAAAGTTATACTGTTCCAAATACAAACATTGAAACATATTAAAGTAAGTAAAGACAAAGATTGTAATAAACTATTTTTAAAAGCAAAATAAAAAGAGAAAAATTCTAAGGTTTTTAATCAAAATAATGTTAAATTTTTTTTAACAAAAATACAGATAAAAATAAAAAAAATAAACTTAAATTTCACTACGAAAAATTATTTTTTCAAGATAAATTTTATTGTCAAAATGGATTAAATTCCTTCAAATATTTTGTTTAAAATCAATAAAATAATGTTAAAAATATTTTCTTTTTTGTAGAGCATTAACTATATTGCTTCTGGAAAAGTTATGAGAAAATTACTTTTAGTAACACCATATTATCAAACCTAGTTTTGATTTAATAAAATACAAAACATTCTCAAAACTATACAAACTCTAAAACAAAAACAATAAGAAATTTAAAGGAAGAAGTTATTTTATAGATATTTAAAAGAAAATCATTTTTTGATCTTAATATCTGATATTATTTAAACTATTATAACTATGCAGTATTTTCATCATAGAAAAAAAATGCCTGAGAATTTCTCACCCTTTCTCAAAAACAGGGTGAAATTTAAAAAGTTAAGTGAGATTTCTAAAAAAACAAAAACTCTTGAAAAAAAAATCCTTTCTTTAACCTTCCGTTAGTCGCGCGCACCTCACAGGTGCATCCCTACTGCATTTCCACCTCCTTTGTCGTCAAAAGATTTTTCCGGGGGTCGAGCCTAATGCTATGTTCCTAACTTTGGATTACTCAAATGTCCGTGTAAAACCGACCTTAGAACATGTCGATGGAGAGTTGGAACCGCTCAAATCACCCCTCTGGTGCAGCGCGACCATTGACACAAGTATTATGGATATAATATTTTTATGAATTAAATATATATATTTTATCTCATTTTCTGTCCTACTCAACGTAGCAGGTATAAATGGTCAAGTTATATACGAAGAAAATGGTTACGGAGTTAAAAACCGCAGAACCTTCTTGCGTCAATTGGTTGATTATCTTGGGATGGAGGAAGAGATCCGACGCGGGAGCAAGAAAAATTTATCTTCGGTACTTCGCTAAATAAATTTTTTGATATTTATCTCTGTAAAGAGTCTTAAATTGGAAACAATTAACTATTTAAACTAGACTAAATTTCATTTGGCTTTCAAAAAATCAGAAACACCTCATAGGTGCAACGCGATTAACCATGTCGGAGACAAGTGCGCGACTAACGGAAGGTTAATTGTAATACATTGTTAACGTCTTCTATTTTTTAAAGCATTGAATATTTTTGGTGCATCATCATAGAAGATTTTGCCTTTACAAGGTATTTGTCCATCTTACATAAGTGCATAAAAATTTTGAACGTCTTACATGAAGAAACTTTACCTACGGTAAACACGTGGAGAGAAATGTATTCTGAAAGGGGTTCCATGGTTGTGTTCTGTTGTTCAAAGAGGTTCTGAACAATACTGGTAAATAGGGAAGCTAGATAATGGGGCAGATGCTGAAAATAATGAAAGATCCAGGAAGAAAAGATAAACGGATTTTATTCTAAATGGCGTAATTCGAAGTTTTTACCAAAATGCGAGAAATTCGTGAATTTTGAAATTGATATATAGAATGCGCGAATTTCTCGCGGTAATCATTTTTTAATGCGAGAAAAGAAAAAAATATGCGAGATTCTCGCGCTGTAGTGAAAACACTGCTATGTATTTAAATCTTAGCCCTCTCAAAAGTTAGATGCCAATGATGTCCATGCACTTTCAAGTTTAATTTCAGAAGGAGTAAAATATTCTTCCAGGAAAAAGACAGTCACAGTCCTGCACTACATATTCTACACTGATTTAAAGTCATGGTAGCCATGCAGTCTCTTGCTTCCTTCAAAAACAAACTAGAAATGGACTAATTTTTTTTTCTATTTCTATATATTTTTTTTTTCCTTTCAAGACAGCAAGTTAACATACTAAAGCCAAGATAGGCTCAGCTCAAGCTAGAGAGTCTTCATCCAACAAAAGCTTGTTAGATGCAAGAACCATTATATGTGTGGTCAGGGTTCCTTTTCTTTCCTTACTCCTCGGAAACCAGATTTAAAAATTTGTTCAGTTAAATAATAAATTTTCATAAAAAGTGAAAGCTATTATAAATTTAAAAAAAAAATGAGAAATAATAAATGACATGCTTCAGAAATATATAGATTTAAGCTTTATATTAGTAAAGAATTAACACTTTAAAAAAATCTTCAAATTTGAGATTAAAAAAAATCCTATTAATGTATGGCTCGGCCTACCTTTGATTAAAAATCCTAACTCTAATACTGAGTCCAAACTCAGATCTAATTTACACAAACAGCAATTTACTTTTATTTGCTTCTTATATTTCATAATAATCAAATAAAACTTTTTCTTTAATCTACAACAAAATTTTCAATAGTAAAATGGAAATTTATAAACAGTAAAATACTTAAATAGAAATTGCTCTATACAACATGGTTTAAAAATGACCTAGCATAAAATTCAGACATTAAAATATGTAGCAGCTCCACTGCAAAAGGTAAATAAAGCAAAAGAATAAAGAAATTAGAGATATATTGCTGAGTGGAATAATACAAAAGTGCTGAGTGATGTATCACTAGTGTGGAGGAATACAGACAAGTATGGATCGTTACAGTGGCAATGCAGAAGGATACAAAATAAGCTAAGCGGGTTGTCAGCAGTTGGATTTTGGCAGCAGAAAGAAAACATGATGATTGTTTGTTGCTAGATGCAACTCAACAAAGAAGTGTTAAAACTGAATACAGCAAGATTTTACTATAAGTCTATTTTTATAAATTTTGTAGTAGCATTATTACAGTAGAGTTGTGTATTCAATTTTGACCTATCAAAAAAACATAAATTTAATTTGATATCCCTCATAAAAAATGAAAAGATCAAAAAAGTAATCCATATTTGAAAGCAGTCCTCACTGATGCCTTTACACACTATAATGCTCAAATACATAGAAAAATAGTGTTAATGTATAATGATGTAAATCCTCTTACATGAAAAAAAAAAAATCCTACTAGGATCCTAATGCATCTGAAAATAAGCTTAAAACTATTTGATTAACTATGAAAATAGGAGCTATGAAAATAAGACCTGCGTTTTCCTAATTTTAGCAACATCACAGAGTCTTGCTCTTAGATGTATCTAGCAGAGAAATAGAATTCAGTGTTAATTACCCAATACGGTTGAGGTCAATCCAATTAACAAAAAACTGAATAATTGAACACCTTAAAAAAGCATATCTTATTCCAACAAAAATAGTAGTGAATGAACTCTAACTCAAGCGTCAAAATCAAATTAAACCAGAAATGCATTGCACCCTTCTTTAATTCTTAAAAATAGAAGAAACTTATTGTTAAATTGAAGAAATTGCTTTACTCTACCTCTCTCACTAAAACTGAACATAACAAATGTGACCAAAGAGAGAGTAATTTTTTGGGAAAGAAGAAATTTTTTGGGGTTAAATGAACAAGTTTGTTAATTGATCATCTGGATAAATGGTACTCTATTTCATCTATAAAACTAAATAAAGAAATGGTAAAAAAATAGTTAATAGAAACATAATGAATAAAACTCCATATAATATATAAAATCATATAAGAATAAAACATTTTACCATCTTTAATGACAACCTTGAAGGATCGAATATTACCATCTTTACATTTGCTAAAGAACGATTTCAGTTCTGCACTGCCTAAAAAAATAAAAATGAATTTCGATAAAATAAAATTTTTGAATTTTGAAGAATAAAAAATTTGATACAGCTTCTTTCACCCTACTATTTATCCTATTCAAAGAACTGCTTACTTAAGCTATAAAAAAAATTTTAGATTTTATTTACTGACCCATTCAAAAACTAACAATTTATGCTATAAGATTAAAAATAACACTTAATAAATATCAATTAACACTATTAATATTTATTAAAAGTGCTATTTAATTTAAAATATAGTGCAAGAGATGCAATAACATTATTTAGTTAACGAACTACAATTAGGAAACCCCTGTAGGAACAATAAAAAAAGTGGGGAGATTTCTGTATCGTGATCAGTGGCAGAATAATCGCCAAGTCTTGGAAGTTTCCGGGCAGTGGCCTGCGAGAAACTAAAAACAAAAATCACAGAAAGGGACTAACTCGTAGCCACTCCCAGGCAAACATCTACATATTTTTTTCAAAAAAATTTGCAAGTTTAAAATCTATTTGACACCTTGGCAATTGTAGTTGGCGCAACAGATCACGATACGAATATATTCCCAAAAAAATTTGTCAATCTGCTCATTTTCACCCTATTAAAATTTATTAATATAATGTATTACAATTTATTTCTTACAAAGAAATATATTTAAAAAAAAAGAGGTAAGAGTCTAAATACAAATAAAAGAATAAATGATTAATAAATAAAATAAAAACCCTACAAAGATAATTGAGACTGTTTTAAAAGAAAGTTAGGGTAAATTAAAAACGCTTTATAAAATGGTTTCTATTTTGATTAATGATTCTACATATTAAAAAACATAGGAAAAGATTTCAATTTTGTTAATATTTTAAAAGATTTTAAATTAATTTCAAATTCTACAGAATGGAAGATCCAATTACTATAGCCATTGAGTTAGTAATCACATATCCTCAAGATTCCTGTCAGTTATTGTTTAATAAATCTATACAGAAGTTCAGTAGAAGGTTGATTTAATACAATTTTAATTAACGCAGTCAGAAACAAATCTTACTTGTAAACATCAGAGATTTATTTTAATTCCACCAAACTATTAATTCTTGGGTAGTGACATTAACAGAAATTTCGTTTTCTGGTGAATATAACATGATAGTAGGAATCACTTAAAACTAGCATTGCTTTCTTAAGTAGCATCTTGTCATGAACAACTTGGTTAGAGAAGGCAGTTTTTAATGTCATTTTGATTCTGTCTGTACCTTATTTAGAATATAATGTATTTCTCGTGGCTAAAAATTCAAATATGGAAGTTGTTATGGTATTGCAAAAATTTTACTAAGGGAACGAGCATGAACGACTATCTAAGAAAACGAACTTTATATTCATATTTGATCTTTTTTTAACGAGCAAGATTACAATTCAACACGTTTTATACCATTTTTCTTGCACGCCGATTATACACACTGCACTTTGTTAATAAAAATAGTTAGGACAACTATGATCCCAACAATATTTTATGAAAACAGTTGACAAGAAACGTCAATGGCCTCCTGCGGTAATGTTACTAAAATCACGAACGCATTATTTTATTTTATTGTTGAGCGACAACACTAGGGCAACTATAATGACACCTGAAGCTAAAGAGTCTTTTTAAAACATTAAATCAAATAGTTAATATAGTTATACATCAATATAAAGTTACTATAGTTTGATTTGTCAAACGCATATCGAAACTACCACATATTTAAGGCAATAATCAGTAAAACAATTCTAAAATCGTATATGAATGAAAGAAAGATGTGACAAACATATTGGTGAAAATAAATACCAAAAATTTATAAGAATAAGCAAAATAACATTACCTTGTATGCCTGTTTGATGCGACATCGCAAACCGCTGCAACAGACGTCTTGTCTTGTATCTAAAATCTAAACGAACACCACCTCTGGTTCTGTTCTGTTCGACACAGATTCTGTTGCCAACTAAAATATTTTAATACATCATTGAATTTTTAACAAAAAAGTGAAGGGAGGAATTGCTTTCTTATTGTGTTCGAAGAAGTTTCAGAAATTTTTACATAGAATTAAATCTTTAATTTGTTCATTTTTTTTCTTAAAAATGTGTTAAGTTTCTTTTTTAAACTATTCTTGCTGCATCCAATTCATGCACTGTGCAATACTTCCCGCATGCGAAGCAGCATATCTTATAGGCGAATTAAAAAAAATTGCTGTAGTGAGAATGATTCCTTTAAATATTTGCTGTTTAATTTTTTGTTGTTGTTATTTCTGGTTGGACTACATTCTTTTCGAACGATCTGTCGCAGGGATTTCAATCGCGGAGTCAGTTGAAAAAATTTCAGCGTAAAGTACTTGAAACTGAATACATTAGAAACAAAGCTGTTTACGACTGATTGCTTTGAAAAAGTTTTTTCAACTGGTATTGAAAACCAAAACTTTTTATTTATTTTTTAGTAGGAATGTAATATTTTGTATTCAAGGTGTTAAATGATTCATCTCTGTAAACATCAATAAATTTTAAATCAAATAGTTTGTTACTGTGAAAGGAAATCTTGGAAAATAAAGTTTGTATTTTAATTGTTTGCTTATGATTATTTTGTTGCATAGTTCCTAGATTTATCAGTGTGTATTACATCCCTTAATTATTATATCCGACCTGTAAGCTGAATCTTAAGTTAAAAAGATACGTAGTGGAATGAAGATTTCTCTTACTATTGACATGCTTTTAAGTTACATTGTTAAGCAAAGTTATATTATTTATCTTTAATGCTGTAATATACTTTGTTAAGTACTTTTCTAGCAAGATTGAAGCTAACGTAGTTTCAGGTAAATTAGCCTTCAAAAAATATGTGTGTGAAACAGTTTGATTGAAACTTCTTCTATTAAAAACGGTCATGTATGCACAAATTAGTAATCATATACAAATTGCGTTTAATCTAAAGAGCATTTATGTTCGGTTTTATGAGAATATATAATGACATGAATTAGTGAAGTGCCCACTGCCCTATTCTTTTGTAATGGAACTTCTTTAAGACATCAACTTTAAAACGGACACCTGTTTTCTACTTGGAGATATTTCTATATTGTGATCTGATGTGCCAACTACAATCGCCAAGGCATAAATGGATTTTAAACTTTCAAATTTATTTATTTTTTTTAAACTTATGGATGGTTGCCCTGGGTGCCTTCAAGTTGCCCCTTTCTGTGATTTTTTTATTTTTAGTTTCTTGTGGCCCACTGCCTGGAAATTGCCAGGAGTTGGCGATTATTCTGAGGCAGATCACGATACGGAAATCTTCCATTCGTTCTTGCCATCTTAATGTTTAAATGTTTTCTGGTACAGCTAATATTTTATAAATGACTCATAAACTGTTTTCTTTAATTTGTTATGTTTACCTTGTTTATGTTGAATATTTTCTTGTATTTTTCATAACATTAAATTAAATGAACCTAAAACATGTGCAAGAAGAAATCAAGATAAATGAAAGGTTCTATTGCTGATAATTTTTCATTTATATTTGTATCTGCTTAGAATTTTGGGAGGTAAAATAAGGAAATAACAAATTGTGATCTAATAAAATATAACAGATTCAGTTGCAATTTTGTAACAAAAAGTTATTTTATTAAAGTAATCAAGTCAGATAAAAAATGCAAAACAAGTTGTGGCTATTTTTGGAAAATTCTGAGTAATTAAATTTTTAAACCTTAATCTTGCCAATTCAAATCTGTTACTGCTTTATTTTCTTTTTAATAGAGAACTAGTTATTATTTTTTGAACCCTTGCTCTATATCATCAATACTATGCAAAAACTAATTGATTTTCTTATCCAAGATATGGAAAGAATCCTTTTTTCTCTTAACCATATCCATAAAATTATGTTATTCATTCATTGTTGTTATCCATAAATTGAGTGCCTATAGAATGTATGAACAATAATATGAACAGCTCTTTCAAATTTGATTCCCAATGTCATGTTTCAGTGTTCTCCCTAAGCATTTTTAAAAGGGAGGCCTTCTCTGCCTGCCTTTTCATGCACCCTTTTTGTATAAATAGGCTGTCATCCATTAAAAACACTGCCTTTTTATTCATATTCCATTAAAACAATAAATAATTCACTTTTTAAATAATAATTACACACTTTGTAAAATTATGTATGTTTACAGGTTTAATTCTAGGAATAACTTTTATTTTTTTGGAAATTGTTGAGGATCAAATTTAGTTATTACATATTATATGTTTTGATAAATTTAAGGTGTTAAGTGAGTGCCCTTTTAAATTCCCAAGTGCCCTTTTCTCTGAGGAAAGGCCTTGCCTTTTTTTTATTCCTAGGAAGAACTTTGATGTTTGAAAGGTTGCTTTATAAAGCTGATTTAATATTAGTTTATTGAATAAACTATTTTTATAATCATGCTTAATGCGCTTTTTAGTTTCATATAGATTCCTAACTTTAATTTTTTGATCGGTTTCAAACAGAAACTAGTGTATCTTCTAGTCCTATGACTATCCATATGCTAATGCTGAAATGATGAATTGTGTTGCCATAAGTAAAGAATTTTGCTTGGCCATTACAATTGTGAATATGAATAAATGAAATATTTTTAAATTATCTTAGAAATATTTTCAAATGCTACAAATATTTAATGTTCACTATTTTACTGATATGTAACTGATATTTTATTATAGATCCAGTTCAATATGCCTTCTTTAATGGCTGATATTCTCACTTTGATTGACACAGAAATACCTGAAGGTAGACAGAGTTTACAAGATAGTTTCGTTAATTTGGAAAAAGTTGCTGAGTATTGTGAATCTAATTACTATTTAGCTCAAAATAAAAAAACTAGTCTTGATGAAACAAAAAACTTCACCACACAAAGCTTAGCAAGTGTAGCTTACATGATAAATTCTCTATCCTATAACATTCTTCATATTTTGGATCTTCAAACTAGTCAACTTGCTGAAATGGAATCCCAGATTAATCACATAGCTCAAGTAAATATTATTCAAGTGTTTTTTTTTTTTTCTATTTATTTTCAAATTTAATTTATTTACTAATTTTACTTAGTTATTTCATGTTTTAATTTTCCCTTGCAAGTATATTTTTACATAAAAAAAGATTTTTCTAAAATTTATATATAATGAAATCTCTAGAATATTTTTATGATTTTTACATTATAAATTATTTTTCTATGGTATATAAGAAAGTATATAAAGTATATAAGGAAATCAGGTGTATAAAGAAATTTCTTGAAGTTTTTATATTTATTCCTAGAATACAAAATATCTTCTATTAATTACTAATTAGTTGTATTTAATAGATTTTAATTCTTGTAACATTTTGGCTGCAAATATTTCTGCCAGTGTTGGCATTTTGGCCAGAAGAAACTTCTGTCTTTCAGGACACTGAAATAAAGTGTGAACAAAACAGAAAACAAATGAAAGAAACTATGAATAACAAAATATAGTTGTTTAACGATAACTTACTAATATCTCAATTCTTAAGAAGAAGAAATTATATACTATGAGAACGTATTCAAAAAGTAATTATTTTCCAACTCATTTTAGTTTTATGTAGAATTTTAAAATCTATATAGCCTATTGTAATAATAAATTTTGAATTTGAATGGATGTCTTTTTTTTTTTTTTTATTNTTTTTTTTTTTTTTTTTTTTTAATCTTAAATATGTACTCTAATGTTCTGTTTGAAGATCATTTGTCTAGAAATAAATAAATAAAAATAATATTTAATAAATTATAAATTGTTAATTTAAAAACTGTTACTTTTCTAACTTTTTTTCTACTGGTTGAATTTTTTTTATAATTTTTAATTTTTTTAAAACTGTATGTGATGATTATTTTATAAAATTAAAATGATATTATTTAACAATAAAATATTAAAAAACTAATTTTTCACTCAAAAGTTATAATAGTAAATCCTAAAAAAATATACTATAGAACAACCAACACTTTATTAAATTTTATTTAATAGTTGTTAATATGATAAGGATTTGATTAGGTAGGTAAAACTGAAATATCTATCAGAAATATCTATTAATAAACAACTGTAGCATGCTACATGCCTAATTTGATTATGAAAATTGTATGCTGTTTACAATCATGAATACTATGTGTGGTTTATTGTATAACATAATATATAGGGGAGTGCAGGGTGAGACCGAGTACCTCGATGGTGACACAATTAGTTCTGTTTTTTAGCAGACAAACTCTGAATTACACTTTACTGGGCAACTGACCTACCATATTGCCGTGTTGGTGATTAATTCACAGTTTCTACTTTAATAAGTTAGTTTTACTATGTCAACTCTCTGATGTTCTTTTGTTTTTAAACTAGCCTTATTTATTGGTCGTTACAGTTATATAAATTATTTCTAGTCCATCTTATTATGTATTTACTAAAGATTCATACCTTAACAAGCAATAAAAACTTAGTCCAATAATAGCAATATTCTGTTATGTTTCGTTAACCTCTTCTCTCATGGTAATATTGGAAACTACCTGGTTTTACCTTCACCCCTTTTTTACTTTGTTTTGATTATTTTTACTACGCATTTTTACCCTTACATTTTTTGGTTTTATTATTATTGTTTAATAAATTGAATATGTTTAGAATGTTTATTTTGGAAATTGCTTTTCATTATGATGGCACTAAAAGATTTGCATATTTTCGTGGGCGTTGACAGGTCGATGGGATAATCCTAAAGTATCCTTAGAAAATAAATAATAATGATAAAACTATTAGGTTGTAGTTAAAATTTTCATTTAACATGCTATATTTCTTTATTAAAATAGAGTTTCTATCATTTCTTCCACTTGGGCTGGAAGGAACCTACTTCTTTGGGGGCGGTTTTTTCCTCTTTGGAAGAACCTTGCCATCCCTGATTTCAACATTCTATAAAAAATTAAATGTTCATTATTTTATCGGATGAACTAGAAGTAATTGTGTTTTAATGAAAAGAGATGTTTGTTTTTTAATCATATATAAACTCATTATTTCTTAATGTCTTCTTAATAGGCTTGCATACATATTCTTTTTCAGTCAAAATTATAAAATAGTTTATAACTGTTCCCCAGTTTATCTTATTGCAGCTTGATGTTCTTTTTTTCCCTTTTTTTGTCTTGCTAATTGCTTTAAGTTTATTTGTAACAAATTCTTTGCAAATTTGTTTTGGGCCTTCTGTTTTTTTTCTTCTTTTTTTTACTTTGAAGATACCAGTTTAAAAGCTTTTTTCACTTTAGGTGTCATTTTTAAATGATGCTACACTTCGAGGAGAGGGAATTCTCAAAATTATGACAAGGAAAAGTAAACAGAAGTGTAACTTCCCAGATTTTTCTTTAAATATTATCATTTGAAGTCAGCAAATTCAGTATATATTCATTAAAATAATTACACCTATTATAAATACAAACATCATTACGTATACAAACATCATTAAAATGTATATTTAAAATTTTAAAATAAAAGTCAAAACATGATCTGTTACATAGAGCTTCGTTTCGAAACCACAAATGTTTATGTAATATGGGGGACTTGACAAGAGGGGGTAAGGAGTATGATGAAGTGTGTGTGATACTTTGTGACAAGAGGAAGGAGGGGATTAAAAATCTTGAAAAAAAAGCTTCATTTATGAATTAGCCCTCAAACTTAAACCCACATGATACATGAAATTCTCCGTGTTAATTTTGCATTGATGTTGAAAATTCTAATTTTTGTTGGAATCATACTGTTTTAATTTTTCCTAAATTTATTGAGAATTGCCAATACAATGCTGCCACATGTGGATAAATTATCATGATAAATCTGTAGACAGGTGAAAAAAATGTCATGTAATAAAAAATTTTAACTGAGAATCAAGATAAATGAAAGNTAAAAATTTTTACTTTTAGTTGAATTTTTTTTTTTTTTTATGCATAAATGCTTGCATTTAAAAACATATCTTACAAATAATATGTATCAATATTTTCTCATCAAATATAAGAAATTGCCTTTGGAAATTTTTTTGCAAAATTATCTTTATCTTATCATTTGTAGATAAGGCACCTCAGCTCTTTTTTAATTTTTTTTTTAGATACATTACTCTTTTTTTTTTTAAATCTCTTGCTCTCTTCTAAAAATAAAATTAAATCACTAAATTTTGTTTTAATATTTCAGAGAAACATGACAGTTTTAAAAATTCAAGATTTATTTAATGACTATTCCAGTCATTAAATAATGGTTTTAATGACTGGTGGTTTTAATATTTAAAAGATGGTTTTATGGCCAATTTATTCTTTCACTCATTGATATTTTTATTACCAAAATCTGATATTTCTGCATTGTACTTATAGTTTTTGCTATTTTACAATGACATATCATGCAACACCTAACAAGCACAATGTAAAGATGCTCTATACCATTTATTTTTCAAATTTTGTATTAAAAATCTCATATGTTTGTATAACATGCAAAATTTTATATTAACATTTTTTGATTATCAATCATCGTAATTTCTTATTCATATGTTCTCTTTAGACAGTTAATATATTTAAGGAAAAGGTTGCACGGAGAGAGATTGGAGTTTTAACTACAAATAAAAACACTACTAGACATCATAAAATTCTTGCACCTGCTAATCAAGAGCGCCCTGTTAAATATATTAGAAAGCCTGTTGATTATCAGATTTTAGATGATATTGGTCATGGTGTGAAAACTACGAGCAATACACCTAGATCAAAGCGAACAGTAACACCTGTTCAAAATACTCTAAATGGAGCTAGTGCTGGGCCTGCTCCTACAACGAAACCACCAACACCACCCCAACCTGTTCGAGCAGCATCTGGAACTCTCTCTTTGTCTCGGTCAAATAAAGAGTATAGGACACCACATCTACCCATTGCACCTCCTCAAGTTCCCAGTAATTATGCTCCAGCTGGAGTTCTTCGTTCACAAGATATTCGAAGAGGAAGTGGATATTCAACGCTACCCATGGTTTCATCTTCTCAAGCTCCGCAAAGTATGATTGCTTCTCAACCTCCTGTTGGTATGGTTCATCCTATGACTACTCTTGGGCAATCATCTGTTCCTCCTCCTCCTGATATGAATATGAATGATAAACTTCCTGGTAAGAATAAATTGTATTACTTGATATATTAAGGTTTTAACTTCTTTTTTTTTTGTCATTACTATTTAAAATGTTGAACCGTTTGAAATCAAGATTATTTTTATTTGATATTTTTCATCTTTGCTAAACAGTAAGTGTTCTGAAAAACTTTTCAAAATTTTTTATAAAATTTGACTCTCTAAAATTAAATCTCTTGTTTTGTTTGGATAAAGAAATATTCCTACATATGTAGAAAAGTTTTATCTAGAAAATTTGTTTAGAAGATTTCAGTTTTATTTCAACAAAGCTTATAGGCAACAAAGTTTGCAGTTTGATTTTCTAAAATTATAATTCTCCTTTAACTATCTTATTTAGATAGAGATATAATCTTGTAAGGTATGTAATAGATGACATAGAAATACAAGAAATGTTTATGCATATTTTAAATTATCATTCATGTACTCTATATTTTGACCAAAAAAAGAATGGAGTATTGAGAATAAAATATGAAGAAAAGACCAACAATTAACTATATCTCCTTAATGTATGGCTGTCTAAGATTAAGTTATTTAAAGTATTGAAAATAACAAATTCATACAATTAACTATGAAAGTTACAATTAGCTGTGGGAAATGACTTTTATCATCGAAATAAGTATAAAGAATCTTATTAACAAAATCTAATATACAGATTAAATCAATCACTTTCGAAAAATCTTTACTTCATTTTTGGTAAAGGTTTTTTAAGTTTGTGCTTGTTTCTTGGAGCCATTGCATGCACCTTACACATCTCATCCAATTATAATTTTTTGGTGCAATATTGTATTCTTCTCTATAGCTAACTCAATGATATTCATTAAATTCTGAGTGTATAGAATCAGAAAATATGTAGCATTCAGGCAAGTAGGTTATGGGTTCTATTGAATAACATGTATGGTCTGTAGAATTGGAATATAATATGCAATGTTTGTTTGATCTTTAAAAAAAATTATTTTCATTTTGTATTAAAAAAACTAAGCTTTTTATTAGCATCTTAAAATTACGTAAGGAAATGAAACAAACCTATTAACAATCCCGAAGTTTTCGTAATTTGTTTTTTATTTGGAGATATTAAGCGTGGTTGTGAAGACTAATTTACTAAAATACATTTTATTTCTTGCTTTTGCTACCTTTATTTAAGGATCTTGCTATCCTTATTGGTCAATATGTATTAATAAAAAGTAGCCATCTCTCCTCAATTTTATGTGGTCATCACTTCTCGGCTTAATGTGGTTATCTCTCTTGGATTTTATATGGCCATCTCTTCTAAAGTTGATGATGAAATGGCCATCAAATTTATAGCATCACTCCACTATGATATTCCTCTGCTTTTTATTCAGGAGTTAAGATTAGACTATGTATGTGCTTAAGAAATAATACAACATATGCTTTGATGAATAACAGATACTTAATTTAAGTAAAATATTTTATTCCTAAATAAAATAAACATTAAAATTTTACCTACTTTTTGTTGTCATGAAAAGCAATGTTTTGTCTAAATTGACAAACAAGTTAAAGCTGCTTCCTGCACAATTGCATGTGCTGCAATATATTAAAAATTTTGGAGATATTTAATCTGACTACTTTTTAACATTATTAAATTTGCATGTTTTTTTTTTTTGTTTTTTTTAGCTGTAACTTATAACAACTGTAGTTATATTTTGAAAAAAATGATTTGATTAAAATATTGCATGTTATGCTGAGATTTTAACCTTTATTTTTATTTATTCTTTATTCAGAACCCCCTATGCATGTTTCCTCAAATTTTGAGAACCCTGGGAATAGTAAGTGCTTTTATACATTTTTTTTTCTTAAGTTTTATATAATGTTTTTGTAGTAGTGTTTAAATAATTAAGTTTTTGCTTTTATTCGTCCTACTAATAAAATTATTTTCCACTGCATGTTAAAAAATAATCACAATTGAATGTATTATAATAACAATTACTTTGTATTTAAATAGCTTTTGTTAACAATAGTTTTCTATCCTTTGAAAATATCAAAAATAGTACATCTGACTATAAATTTTACAGTCTACTCTTTTTAAATCAAAGTGTTCTATGTATTAAATAAATTTTGTTCTTATGGAACAATGTTATTCCAAACCTGTCTATTCATTACCTTAGATTTTCTAATTTAAAATTTTCTCAAATGTTAGATTATTAGTTTCATTGTCTAACTATCTCTTTTTTGATCTTCCTCTAGGTCTTGAGTTCATTGTTTTCAGTTTGTTAAAAATTTATGGTTAATTAAGCTTTTAAATCAGTAATTACCATATTTGATTATTTAGAAGGAGATGCAAGTATGTTTTTTTGTGTTATGGCTTCTTACCAAACAAAATATGTTTTTAAACAAGTAGATCATAACAAATATGTTATCTGAGATATCCTGCACTCCTTTTAACTTTATTGAGGAAGATATGACGCAATTTAATCTGTACTTTAAATGCTCCTTTATAATAACTTACTTATTGATTGTTAGCAAAACATTTAATGTTTAAATAATTTATTTTTTTGCTAATTAAATTTTTAAATAAAGTATTCATTACTATTGTGTTAGGCTATTAAATTTTTAAAGGATTTTTTTTAATGGAAATATTTTTTATTAACTGACTTGAACAATACAAGTATAAATTTTAAAAACGAAATTTATCCTTTATGTTTCATTGAGGAAAGTATTTCATTAACAGTGACATATTAATGTTTTTGATAAGTTGCTTAACAAGGTTGTGAAATAACTAGGTTTTATTTTTTAAAAAAAGGATACCAAAATAATAGGGATTTTTTGTTGTTTTTTTTTAAAATGGAAGGTTAAACAATCTTTCAAGCTTCAAAAGAAAGAGCTTTCATAAAACTATTAATTTTTTCATTAAATAATAAAGCGATAAATATATATATATATATATATATATATATAGCACAATAAATCCGTTTTTAATTCAGTTTTGCTTTTTTGTGCTATATATATATATATATATATATGTATGTATATTCATGCAGCTCATTTCTAAATTTTATTCTTAATCCTATTTTTCCATAATTTTTAAATATTTTTTAATTAGAAAAGTATATTGCCTTAAATATTTCATGATTCTTTATCTTAAAATTTATATTGATTCAATAGATAAGACAACAAATAATATTTTATTTTATTTAATTGTTTAGCAAATAATTATTATATGAATGGTTTAAATTTAAAAATCTAATATTGTATAAGAAAGTAAAAAGTTTTTGATATTTACTTCTTTTAGAAAAAGACACTATTTTTACATTACTTATTTTACTTTTATTGTTATTTTAACATAATCCAATGTTAAATAAAATAATTTATATTGCAAATCTTTTAAATAAATTTTGAATAATTTTTTTGTTAAGATGTTCTTTTTTTTCCGTAAAAAAATGTTTTTTTTTTTTTTTTAATATTACAATAATGAATGCTTATTGCATATAAGCAATGCAAATTTGCTTTAACTTGTCACTGAAATATTCTAAAGATAAACTGGAGAAAAAAACATAAAGTTCAGATTATCATCTCATTCTCATATATGCTTCTGACTATAGTAGGGTCAATGTTTAATTAATGAGATAAAAAATATGTTAGAGAATCTTTCTAAATTATGTAAAAAAAAAAAATTTATAAAATAGTTATATAATTTAAAAAGATTCTCTTTACATTTATTTTCAAAGTAACAGTTGTTGATGGTTTATTTTATTTTTAGCATTATTTTAAATCATTATGTATCAAACCTTAAACTTAACTACATTAATTAATTTCATATGGATATTTTTTCAGAAATGAATAACCTAATAAACATTTTAAAATTGCATATTTGTTTATCTGAAGTAATACGACGTTTATGAAGTAATATAACAATTATATAATTGTTATATGAAGTAATATAACAATTATTGAAAATTAAAAATTCTAACTTTAATGTTTTTTAATTGAGTTATATTTGAAATATAATATTTCTATAAATAAAAGAAAATGAAATTATTATTTGTAATTTAATATAAGGCTTGATTTTCTTTAAAAAAAATTGTTTAAACCCTCCACTTCTGGTTTTTTAGCACCATATTACCCATTATTCTGATACATCTGTTGTACCAGAATATTGAGTATTAAATATTCAATTATTAAGCCTATTTTAGCTTTTAAGATGTTTTATAACTCATAAACTTTTAAACAATTGTCATTTTGATGTTTATTTTTTAATTATCTTTTATCATTATTTTTACATATAAATTTTTGAACTAGTATTTTTATTTATATTGCTATTTATTTCTACATTTGTCCTAGCAAAATAAATCAATCATGTTAACTTCAGATTAAACTAGTCTTAGATTGCTATTAGCTCATATTATCAAAACTCTACTGTATGTTTCGGAATTACGACTGACTATAAGTTGTTAAAACGTAACAGAATCATGAAAAATAATTTACAGTTGAACCTGTTTATCTCGAACCTCTTTATCTCAAAAACCTCTATATCTCAAAAACTTCTATATCTCAAAATTTCTGAAATTCCCTACATTTACTGTCTAAAATGTATTTTCCATGTTTATGTAAATTTTTTTTCTTCTCAAAACCTCCGTTTCTTGAATTTCTGATAATAGAGTCCAAATGTCAAAACTTTCTTTATCAGTAGAACTTGCAGACAGAGATGAATTTCGTGAACCCACAAGAAGTAGGAATGAACAGGTTGGGGTGTTTCTTGGAATTTCAATCACTATCCCTGTACTTCTTTAGCTAGAAATGAATAAAATGATTCTGGCAGTAAGTGAAAGGTAAATGAGTAGTGACCACCAGAGGTTAGCTTTTCAACATAGAGCTAAGAAAGCTAAGAATAGAAATTCATTTTCACCTCAAAATTGCAACCAATGGATCAAAGGATAATTAAGAGTTTTAAAGTGAACCATTGGTACACAAACTTGTAGATGTCATCGATGAAAAAAGTTCTCTTCCAAAAATAGATGCTATCAGAATTACTGTTTTGCCTGGAGAAATGTGTCTCTAAAAACTATCCAAATTGATTTTAAGAAACTGGTTTTAAGAATAGCTGTGAAGATGATGAGCAAAAGGTTGAAGGCATCAGTAAAGAAGAAGAAACTGTTCACGCTGAAAATGCAGTGCCAGATTTGCCAGAATGGAATGCAATAAAATCTGGATTTAATGTTGACATCGATTTTGAAGATTTTCACAAGTGGACAGGTGCGGAAATCATAGATAATGTCAAAGGAATATCAGATGAAGAGGAAAAAGCCATAGATCATATTGATGAACAAAAATGAATGCAAAAGGGATAGAAAAAGTAGTAGAATGCTTGTAAACTATTCTTGAATTCCAGGAAAATGTTGACTAGGAGGGATTTGCACTCTTTCTAATCTTACAAGAATAATCGAATCGAATAAGGTTGTATGTCAAATATCTTTCAAAAATTCAGGAATGAAAGACTTCTACAAAAAAGTGGAAATCCGCTTTTTTCTCCCAATTTTTAAAATTTCGGACCATGTTCCAAAATTAAAATTTTCGGGGAGTCCAATTAGACACACCCAAGCCGCCCGAACGATAGTCTGACTTGGAGTGAACTTTTTCGTAGCCTCCTGAGAAAATGATCTTCAGATGAAAATGGGTGGAGCTTCAGCAGGTACGCTGTTGCTTTGATAACCGAGACTTCCGCTATAGAGTGGAAAGGAGTCTAAGCAGTTTCGCTTCGACCGCTGACATTGGATTTGTTTTGTTTTTTTTCGTTTGCCTGATTTTCGGAATTTCAAATATTAGGAATTGCGCCGTAATCTGATAACATCGCAATTCTTAATCAGACGATTTTAATATCAATCATCGATTTTCGTATTTAACTGATTTAGAAGTTACGTGTTTTACGCGATTTAAAAATCGTACTAGCAATTCCCATTCACCCAATTTGAAAATCCAATATCGCAATTTGTATTTAAGCGTTTTTAAAACTCAATATCGCGATTTGTATTCCCGCGAGTTGAAAAGCCAACGTCGCAATTTGTATTCACGCATTTTTAAATCCAATATTGCGATTCGTTATTACGCAGTTGTAATATCAGATAGCATTTTTCGTCTTTGTACGCTATTTAAAAATTACTCATTGTTATTCATGTGATCTAAAAATTATGCATCGTGATTATTATTTGCGCGATTTAAAAATCGCAATTTGTATTTTCGTGTTTTTAAAATCCAACAGCGCAATTCATATTCACACGATTTTAAAATCCTATATCTCGTTTCATTTTCACGTGATTTTGAAATATAATATCGCGATTCATATTCACAAGATTTTAAAACCCAGTATCAAGATCATATTCACGTGATTTTAAAACCCAGTATCAAGATCATATTCACATGATTTTAAAACCCAGTTTCGTGATTCTTGAAAGAAGTGGAAGTATGTTTTCTCTTGAATTAGTTACTGTAAAGATGTGATATTTTTCATTAGTAAGTAATTTAACAGTCGCGCCTGCCTACTATTGTTTAATTTCCTTTAATATAGTAGTGGTGAAAATTTTAAAATTATATTTAAGAAAATTTAAAGTTTACTGTCTAAATGCTTCTGCCACTTTAAATATTAAATAAAAGTCTCCCAGCATAGTTAAAAATTGTTTTATATATCTCATCGATGTCACAGTATCATATAGAACACTCCTCCCATTGACTGCGTTGTAAAAGTTCAGCTTTTTTATTTTTGTCCACTTTCGTGCCTGAAAATTATTTTCAGTGTTAAATATATGTTTAAAAAAATTTTATGTAAATAGATGTATGTGGCATAATTAATTTAAGGAAATGCCAATTTTTCTACGAAAAACAATTAAAGCACTTTTATAAAAATGTCTTAATTAAATTTAATTTTTTAAAGTACCTGTATAACTCAAAACCTCTTTTATCTCAAATTTTTTGCCTTTCCCGTGAGATTCAAGGTTAGACTGTATTTGATAGTTATGTTAAATTTTCAATTTTAAAAAAAATCAAGAATTTAATTATTTTTTGTGAAGAGGGAGTTCCATAAAATTTGTTGGTTAGCCGAGATAAATCAATTTCATACTTTAAGAGTTAATAAAAGAAGACACCAAATAAGTTATGTTGGAAATGTTTTGCTAATTAACAAAAGCATAAATTAAATTTGATGAAATGGTTCTGATTTGGAAATGGTTATTCATACCAATTGTTTCTTCTCAGTATTCTGATCAGATGTTATTGTTTGTGCAAACAAGTTGTTATGTTTGTCTAATCTACACTGTTTAAAATAATGTTATTTGTTCTTTAGTTCTCAAGTGTAAACCCTTCAAAGTCAAGACCTAATTCTTATTCAAATTACAAAACAATGAAACTGACCTAAGTTAGGATGAGGAGAATTGTAGTTTGTGTTCTTCCGAGTAACTTATTTTATCATTTCTATCTAAAATATCTTCAATATTTAAGGAAAAGAAGTCCTTTCACTAGTCAAATTTAAAGATATCTAGGACAAAGAATATTAAATAGGGAAGGACACCAGCTTTTATATCCATGATGCAAACATAGCATACAGAAAAACGTAGGTATAAAGAAAATTGTTACATTTAAGAAGAGTCCAACAACTGAAATAGAGGTCTTAAAAAAGGTTTTATCCTTCTCCCTCTTACTTTTTCTTGGTAGGCTTTTGTGAGATACTTTTTGATTATGTATTTACTTCATATGTATCCACTTTTTTATTCCTCTCGTTAAGTTTTTTTTAATGAAATCTAAGATGGTATCTGAAAAATAATGTTTTAAGTTAAACCAGAAATTAATACACATCAACAAAATAGATTGCAACATTAAAACACAAATACAAATGGCATACTCTCAACCTGTAGACCGTTAAAGCCTTACACAGCAGAACAATATCTTGGATTTCATACACGAGCTCTGAGTATGTTTCTTTGTTTGTTAATCTTTTCTCTAGTGAGTATTTTGCTATATTAATTACCTATTAAGGAAGTTTAACTCCTTCACCTATCTATATTCTTTTCCTGAAATCCTACTATGTTCATATTCTGGTTCAATGTAAGAATTTGAAGTAATTTTATTCTTATCTTTCTTTTATTGTCTTGGATATCTTACATTCGAATACTGGTCACGATCCTAGTGTTTGCTAGGTAAAGTATAGACTACAAAATAATTGTATTATTTTTAGAACTAAGATTCCAATATTTAATAAGCATTTATGTTTTATCTTTATTTTACTAGTAGCTTCCTATAAATTTAAATTTTTTACAGTTTCTCCTCCTTTGCCTCCTCCTCCTCCTGATGATGACTCATATCAAGAAAATTACAATCCTCCTTCACCGCCATCATTTATGAGAAGAGCTGAATGGGTGCCAAAAAATTTTGTTGAAAAAGGTAAGATTAACTTAATTTTAAAACTAAAAATCTTAACTACAGAACTTCTTCTATAAACAAAATAATAAGTTTTTTCCTCCTAATTTATGCAGTTTTTATCTTTTCTTGCTTTTGAATTCTTATTGAAAAGAGAAATTACCACGCAATTTGGTAAAAATTATGTATTGCATCTAAAGAATTTTGATACTTTTTTATTAAATATAAGATTTCCTAAAAGCTAAACACTTGAATTACGAATGAAGCTTCAAGTAACAATATTTAGTTTTCTTGTTTAAGAAATAATTTTTATGTATTTTAAAAAGGTTAAAATTATTAAGAAATAATTTTTATGTATTTTAAAAAGGTTAAAATTATTATGTATTTTAAAAGGTTAAGGTTAAAAAAGGGATATCAATAAATAATTGCTGCAAAAGAAAAAATTGATACTTCTCTTTAAAAATTAACATGGTTATGAAAATGAAACATAAACCCAGAAATATCTTCTAAAGGTTATAAATCTTAACCGGAAAATTTTTAACATCAACTACACTCACGTCTTCAAAAAGCATTAATTTGATATTCACTGCAAATTCTGTGCCTCTATGGTCAATCATTCCTTTCTTCCTGTTTAAATATTGAATTAAGTTGTCCGCGTTTTTGTTTGAAAGACAAATTTGATTGTAGTGACATTTATAATGAAAATTAGCTCATCAAATTTTCATTCAGGAAAATAATACTGCTATCTAATCAGCATATTTTAATTTACTCGATTGTTTTATAGATAATTCATGGATTCCACTGTGCATTGTAATAATTTTCATACAAAAAAATCAAAAAATTTTTTAACAATTTGACAAAAGTATTAGGTATGTGTTTTAAATCATAATTTTAAAAAATTTCCCTCCAACTCACAATTTTATCTTTAGAACATCTAACTCTTAAAGCGTGCAATCCTTTTTTCAGGGCTTTTATAATTTTAGTAGATCTGTATTGAAACTCTGCCACTAATACAGAGTTTGTGATCTAGTATTTGCCATATATCAGATTGTTTTCAAGCATACATAGTTAAAAAAAACTGTGATCATACATTGATGCATTTTACATTGTTCAACAAATTATAGCATTGTTTATCAACTATTATTAAAATTTTATTGTCAATTTTCCTTATTTATTTATTTTTTCATTAATCAACTGTATGAGAATAATCAATGAGAAGAGTAATAATGTGAATCCTTTGATCAGCAAATCTGTGCTTGATTTTTTACTCTTTCTGATTTACCCTTAAAATGCATAATGTTTTACTTTCTTATTTTCTTTACAAGATTAATCTGTATGGAGCCACAAATCTGCAAGTTTGTGTGAATAAAACATGTATTCAGAGTAATGCTTCCAAAAGCAATGAATCAGCAACTTTGTGACAGAGGCCATGTAACTGTTAAAAGCAGCTAGATAATTATGTTAGTTAAAATTTTCTAGCTAGTTGTGAAATTTCTGTTACTAAATTTTCTTGCTAGTTGTGAAAATTTTCTTGCTATTTGTGAAATTTCTGTTACTAAATTTTTGATTCAAAAAAATAAATTATAATGATAACAGTATTAAGTAAGTTGTAATCAATTGAAAATATTTTATATATATTTTCCAATTTTTAATTCAATAATTTTATAAATGGCTCATACGTGTTTTCTGTGTTAGATTTATAAGTAAATGCTTATACATAGCAAGCGATGACTTAGCAGTTAAAGCACTAAGTTGTCATTACAAATGCCCAGGGGTCAATCCCCAGTTGTGGCTTTAAACCCACACTGCTTAACACCCACACTCCACACTTAGCCTCCAAAGGACTGTTGTGGGAATGTTTTTTTTCTTCCTACTTTTACATACTTAGTTATGAAATTTTTTTTACTAGAAATATGCTTTTTATCTGTATAAAAATTTTAAAGTTCTCATATCAAACTTATAACATTTCAATTAATTTTAGTTGTTGCAATTTATGACTATTGTGCTGACAAGGAAGATGAACTCTCTTTTTCCGAAAATACAATAATTTATGTCATGAAGAAAAATGATGATGGTTGGTATGAAGGTGTTATGATGGATGAGGCTGGTGGTGCTGTGGCTGGTCTTTTTCCTGGAAATTATGTTGAGCCTTGTTTATAATGAAATACAAGTGTTAAGTTAGTTAAGCCTGTATGTTGGGAACAAAGGTTAAGGATAATGTTTTCTCAGCATACAAAAAATATTTAGTTCATATGCTTAACTTTTTTTAGATGTTAATAATTTTATTTATATAAATGAAAATTTTCTCTTATTAGAAAATACATATTGACCATATTAATGTTTTTTCCCAATCATTTTCTTTCTTGTTATTTTTTTATATAGGTTAAACTGCCTTTAAAGCTTATATCAGAATTCATATATTTTTTTAAATATGTACCACAGCAATAAACTGCTCTGTTTTCCTTAGTTATTTCTTATTTTTTACTTTGCTAACAATTTAATAAAAATTAGTATTATACATCAAAGTATATTTGCAGTTTTCAGGAAAAGAGAAGTACGCAACTCTTATCTAAAACTTGAGTTAGGTCAAATTTGGTACTCTTTCAACTAATTTTACCTTTACTAACTTATTTTTCTCATTAACCCCCTAATATTTCAGTTACCTCATTTTTATTAAAAAATAGTAAATGTAATATCCCTCATTTTGTTTTTAATTATTACAGTATTCATAAGACCTAATATTTACTTTTTACAACTTATAGCTTACGAAGGCATAAAAGATGCACCAAAAATATTTATTACTATTGCAATGTTATTTGCAAATCTTAATTCTTGTTTTAATTATGTAGTTCAGACTGAATTTACTAGTATATACAGTTCTTTTATGACTTTTTTTTTTTTTTAAATTTTGCCTTTTTTATCACACATCTATAAAGTGTTGCTCTTGGGCAAAAAAGAATTTTTTTTTTTTTTTACATTTGAGACCAATAAAATCAAATATTTCAAAGACTCCACTTACTAGCTTACAAAACTTCTACCTTCTCATTTTCTGTTTAATATACATTTTATTCATATCATTTGTGAACACTCATCATTTTTATATCTTATTCTTTGTCATTTACTATACATTTCTTTATGTTATTATCTTATGTGAACACTCACAGCATTTTTATATCTTACTCTTTATCATATCATTGTATTATACCTCTCTTTATGTTATGAGTTATCTTTAAAATTCCTTCATTCATAATTTTTTTTTATCCTAGTTTATTAGAAAATGACTATTATTAAATCAAGACTATTATTAGAATGCACATTGTTATTATAATGGCAAGTCTTTGTTACTTTAGTCATTTAGTTTTAGTATGTGTGCAAAAAGTTACTGATGCCTGTGAAATTAAATATGAGTATTTCCCATAGAGCTGGAATAGGTGTAGAGCAAGCACACTGTTATATTTCCCCATCTCTCTTTGTCCCAAACATTAGATGCTTCTCTGTCACATGCTACATCTTTTTACACGATTTTGGTAGGGAGAGTAAGACATCAAATGACTGTTGAGATTAGTTCTTTTTTTTAGTAGATTTGTCTTTGTACTTAGGAGGACGAAAGTTAAAAGTTCAAGAGTGTTACGATCAGTGGAATGATAAAATTTCCGGGTCATTTTTCCACAAGACTTTGCAAGATTGAAAATTATTGTAGAATTCAAATATGTATAAACTGTATACATTTTTACAAAATTAAGAAATTTTAATTTTTGAATGATTTTAAAAACGGTTTAAAGTTTTTTGCACAGAACTAGCAAAAAAAATATCCTTATTTATATATTTTAAAAAACTACAATTATTCAAGTTTGTTCATTTTTATTAATTTTTCTTGTGGAATATAATTATAAAATTGTATCACATTTTAGAATTCATCTTAGGGAATTTTTTAGTTAGAAAAAAAACACTTTTATATTTCAATCCATCATCGCAAATAATAGTATAATATTTTGTAAAATCATGAATAACTTTTCAGGTAGTGAAAATTTTTCAAAACATTTACAGAAAAAAAGAATTAAGACATGTTTAAAAGTCAAGTATAGAATAAAAATTTGGAAAAAAGTGCTGCATCCCATTTAAAAGTCAAGCTTCTCTCTTTTTAACTTTCCAATTTTATTTTAACTTTATACCTAGAGTGAGATTGATAGCTGACTCTTTCAATTATACAGCTTTAATACTTCGGATGATTCAATTAAAAATGATCTGACAATTTCAGTTGAAAAAGACTTGATGATTTTATTAAAGAAAAAATAATTAAGCGTTAAAAATCTTTGTCCTATTTATAGAATTGTTTTATATTAATGTTTCATAACCTCTCTTGTCTGAGCAAATATATGTTGTGAATAAAACTCACAATTCAAGTTACTGAAATTATAAAAATATATAGAAGAGTTTTTTTCTTTTAAAAACTCAAAAGGGTTTTAAAAAAATACGGCATAAATAAACAAGGAAAGAAAGAAACAACAATGTTGCTAAAAGTTTGTCTACTTCATTTTACCACTGAAATTTTAAAAAAAATTTATTTATTAATAATAAATAATTCTAAATAATCATAACAGTTTAGTTGTGTTCTTATTTGTTTGTGTTTAATTATAAAGTAGTTTTAAAAGCTTAAATTTGGATTTTAGAATGAATAAATTGGGGTGCTTATGATGTTTTAAGAAAAAGGAAAACATGCTAAAAATGATTTAATGTTGTAATTAAAGCAATTGTAATTCCAAAAAGCAATAAATTAACTTTCTTATGAAATGTATAAGGTTCTCTTTTAACAAATATTTCTGTGTAACCAAATGCAGCACACTAAGTTACCATATTTTAAGATTTTAGACTTTAAAATTCCCACATTGATTTTCTTTCACAAAAATATCAAGGAGAAACGAAAGGTTAAAAATTTCCTTCTTATTTCACCCTTCTGTCGCATGGTTTCATTCTGAGGACAAAAATTATCTTTCATTTTACGCTCTGCTATATTCCACCTCTATGTTTTTTTCTTTTAGTTTTGATATAATTAGGTTGAATATATTTAAAATGAAATATGTGTATTCTTTATCTAATATATTATTAAAACATAAATCCTCTTTGAGGAACAATACTTATTGTTTATATTATCTGAGTAATAAAAACTTATATGAACTATGTAAAAGTCTCTCACTTTTGCATGTATCATTCAGAAAATTGCCTTTTTCAATATCAATTTTAAGAAAATCTAAATATTATGTTGCAAAATCTGTCTAACTTATAGAAGAGCTTATACTTGCATTTCCTAAAAATAAGGGTCTAAATTGCTCATCCTTAGTTTTCTTTTAAAAAAATTTCTTATTCTCTTTTTTTAAAATTATGTAAATATTTATATTGAGATAAATATGTTTCATTTGTCAATAATAACCAGGAATTTGTGCCTAGTGCTTTAGAATTTGCCATTTCTTAAAGTCTTTCTGCTATAAATGCTAATATTATAATTGAATTGAAATGTTAGAGTTATTACTAAGCCTTTTATTCAAAATAATATAATTTCTTATTCAATCTCGTTTATTGCATAATAGATCTGCATAGAAAGTTTTAGCCTTATAATCAAGATATTTGCAGTTTCCCTGCAAATTTAAGCATATTTATTTTTTAAAAAGCCATACAGGTATCAGACTGAACTGCTATAAATAATTATTTCATAAAAGAACATTTGAAGGCATATTTTTTCTGCAATGAGTAAAAGCAATCAATGAGTAAAAGCAACTAGTTCTAAATAAAAGTGACAAACTTTAATTATTTTTTTAAGTGAAAGTATTTTTGCTCTGATGTTAGTATCATTTTTTTCTAGTTCTTAAGTAATATAAAATTATAAAAAAGAGTAAATTAGATCTGTAAAGGAATTAATTTTAAGAATTAGTGATAAAATTTTTTTAAAAATTGTTGTGTGTTAGTATAGATAAATAAATTTGATAATCTGATAAAAAAAATATTTAAATAGTCTAAATAAGCTCTAATTGTCTTAAGCAAAATTTCTTGCTTGTTAAATTTTTAATAACTATTGTCTAGTAATGTAATTTTTATAAATTGATTGAAGAATTATTATTTCATTCTTTATAAAACATAATTTTTTTTTAATTACTTTTTCTCATTCTTTGGAACTTATGGGAGAGGTCTCTTACTATATTTGCTATTTTTGAATTTAGTGTGAATTGCTTATAAAATGCAGTATTGTCTTAATGTAATCTCATACTCTGTATTATTTTATATTTTAGTTTAAAAATTTAGGGGAAAATAAAATGGAGAAATCGTTCTCTCTTCCTCGAAATTTATGTGAACTATTCAAAATTAGGGAAAATTATTATTGAAATTATTAGAGCTCTCATCTTGAATGTTATTTGTACAGATTAATATCTAATAAGTGACAGAAAATTAATAAAAAAATGTTATTGCTTTCCTAAAGTTTAAAAATTATATTTGCAATAATAAATGCTAAGATCAAGTGTATTTAAATCATGATTTTGCTACCTGTTTTTATTAATATGCTTGACAATTGATAAGAGCAGATAGCAAAATCTTAATATCTTTATGTGATTCATTGCTTTTTTTTTGCCTTATTGAAATGATGTATTGCATTTATCATGTAATTTTCTCTACTTAAGTGATATGTAAATATTAAAGGAATGTAGCTTCTGTCATTAATTAGGATGTTTTTGTCATTATTGCAAGAGAATCTATTTATCATACATATTATTGACATATGTGCATATGTATATTACCCATACTTTAACTGCTGACATTTTAAAAATGGGAACTGACTGACTTTGAAATTTTTTATAAGGCACTTCTTTTTTCTTTTGTAAAACTAAATGTATTATAGTTCTAAAGAACTTAATTGAACTGTAAAAGCATCTCACTGGGAAGTAATGTATTAAAGTTTGAAATCGGTTTTGTTTTATTTAAATCCTTATAAATCTTTAATGGAGGATAATTTTTAGCTTGAAATGTTGAGTTGGAATTGTGTAAAGCTACATAAAATATTAAATACTATTTTAATAAAAGTAAAAAAAAAATAGTTTAATTGTGAAGTAATAGTACCAAACATTTTAATCAAAAAAAATATAAAGCCAGAGGGGAATTTTTATTTTTCTGGGTATTAAAAGAACTTGTCAAAACTGTATAAATAGATAATCTGATTGTTTAATCATTACATTAGATTTTTCTCTTAAGTTTATTTAATTATATTCTTATTACTTTGTAGTCAAACAAAACTACAAATAGTATTTTACTTATGTTAAATGATTAATAATAAATTAAAAAGTAATATATTTTTTCATTTTTTATTCGCCAACAGAAAAAAACAATTACACATGAACTAAAAAAATTCTTATTTTGTTATATGTGTGTTTCACTTGTGTTGTCTTCATCTGTTATCATGGAACTGGGTTTGCAACAATCTGAAATTCTTCGTTGCTTAGCAATATGCAGATAAGAATTATTGGGTGTACAAGATCTGCGACGTCTAGATCTTGTATAAGAATCTTGTATTTCAATGGTTATTCGTTCTGTGTTAATATTCTCAAGTTCTCCTCTACATAAATGATTTATTATACCAGCTCCATAAGCATCACCCAAAACATTCACAGAAGTTCGTACTCTATCCCTGAAACAAAGAGATGAATACTTAATACTCAAGGTTTAGGTTGGGAAAAATTTTTGTACCCAAACATAAATATATTAAAAAAAATTAAAATACAAGGTCTCTTATACTTTACAAGTAGTACAGATTGAAAGGTGTTTTGCTCAGATCATATTAAAGATCATATAAAGATATATCAGATCATAGCATTTTTTGTAATAAAACATAAGGCTTTTCATGTAAGGCCTTATGTTTATATTTTATATTAAATGTTCTATATAAAGAAAATGGTAAATAATATTGTAAAGAAAAATAATCAGGATAAAGTTATAAAGAAAAATTAATTCAAATTTCTGAACTCGTTTATTTATGTTACCTTTTATGCTGAAGCAGAAATTTTTAATTTAATTGCTTAATGTAACGATTTATTTATTATTATTTTTTTTTAAGTAGTAGCTCTATTAAAGTTTTAAATTATTACATTTCAAGAACTATTCATTCGAGTTTCTTCAAATTACGTATTTTTGCATATGTCTCGTAAACATGTTTAAAAAAATTTCTTTTCATTTTTTTTTTATATAGTGCAATTTTTCATATTTAATTTATGGACATAAAGTGCTCTTTTTTCCTTGCGACCTATGTTCTATGGTCAGTGAAACACCGAAAAATGTTTGTTTCACCATGTTCTATCCTTCTTTTAAGTTTGTACCTCTGACAATCAGAAACCTTGTTCATTACAAAACAAAATTTATTTTAACTCCATAATTTTATTATAATATTTTTTGATTTTGCTGTAATTAGTTAAGTTTACGTGGAAATTTATATTGTTTCAAGTACTTACAATAACCAATCAACTGCTACAATCATTGATATGTCTTCTGTTGGCAGTCCTACTGATGTAAGTACTAATATCATAGTGACTAAACCTGCACTTGGTACACTTGCTGCACCAATACTTGCAGCTGTTGCTGTCAAACTAAAATATTAAAATGAGTTAAGTATTGTTATTTTAGCTATATATATACAAAAATAATGAAGTGATGGTTTGACCCTTGTTGCAAGAATACTTTTAATTATAAATTTAGTAGCCAAGCAAGTATAATCACAATAAAGTATAAAATTAACAATGCAAATAAAAAATTATGAAAATTTTTAAAAAACGTAGAAAGTTGTAACATCTTAAAAAATAGTAACAATGATTTTAAAGATTTCCAAAGGACATGGCTATTTTTTTCATTTGTGTCATTTACTAGTTCTCTGACAATAAATTCAAACATTTCTTTACCATGTTGATTGTTGCCATGAATTACGCAAAGAGCGTGGTTTTCACTTTGTTCCTTTCAACATTTTCGTAATTCATTTTGGCTTGCCATTGGTCTGTAGTGTATGAAAGCGCCAATCATTTTACTTTTTGATGAAATACTTGTGTGCTTACACTGAGCTGGATTCCGTGGGAAGTATTCTTGCACTCTCTTGTGCAACTCTGCTGCATTTCTCAACTCTAAGCTTCATTTTTCAGCCCTTTGGAATCGAACCGAAAACTCTCGAATTTTTAAAAAAATTCATTAATCTCAAATTTGTTAAATATTATGAATGTAGCGTCTATGTAGTAATTTACTTCTGACAAAAATGTTTACCTTTAATACTATTAAATTTACTTTTAAAAATTATTGAAAATTTTTTTTTTAATAATTTCATTAACAAATATTGAACCAAGAAATAAAATTTCAGAAGAAATTATCAATATGAATTTATTAAGTTTTCTTAGTATGCTTAATTCTTTACATAATAAATTCAATATGATAAAAAATACCAATCTTGTTAATGTTTTGTTGAATATGGTTTTATAAATAGCTTTTATTTTAAATCTAAAAAATACACCTGATAACTTTCTTAAATTATAGTTTTAACTAATCAACAACTCAATATTAAATATATTTAAAATTCTGCATAAATTGTTTTTACAATGGTTAGTATAATCGAGAAAAAAAGTTCTTTGTCGAATTATTTAATCAAAAATTTTGTTATTTTGTGTATGTAATATATACCACCGTTATATAGCTAGATTATATGAAGATCTTTCAACTGAAAAAAGTTTTATTAGTGCGCATATCCTAATAATGATTTTCTTTAAAAAGACAGTGCTTATAAATATTTTTTGAGTGCTTGAAAGGTGCTTCTTTTTGCTGAAAAATTTTGCTTCGCACCCAGTACTATAGTACTTACACTTATATATTTTTTCTTTTAATTAATTTCTTTGAATTGTTTTTAGTATTTCTTGCATATCTCTACAAACTCTTTTTTAAGTAGTAAATATTTTAATGCTGTTTTATTGTAAAAGCTTACGTCTTTTTTTTTTTTTTTTAAGGAAAAAAAAAAGAAAAAAGTTTAAAAGAAACTTCTAGATTAATGAGTTTCTGAAATTATGTGACTAGATTAAATTTCAAATGAAATTTTGAGCATTAGCACATAGATTGTAGTGAATATAGACAGATATTTTTCAACTTACTAGATTTTTTTTTATGTAATACCTAACTCTTAACTCGTTAGTCCAATTTAGCTATGCTTACCTAATTGGCCGCTATTTTAATTATATTAAACGGGCTGTAATTGAACATTATTTAAAATATGAATATTTCATTTCTCTTGTTTTTATCTTAAAACTTTCACACTTGTGATTACAGCCAAAAAGAAATGTTGATTCACTGTAAGAACTATATTTTTAATTCTTCACTTGTTGTGGAGGTAAATTTATCTATCTGAGCTTTCAGGAAATTTTCCAATTCAACATTTGTGACTAACTAACATTTAACAAGGTTCAATTGATAAATAAAAGTGAACTGTAAGTAAACACATCTTTGAAATACGCTTCATGGACTAGGAGGGCAGATATCTGTTAGGCTCAAGTTATGTCATCACAATCAGGGATTATTTTTTTACTGCATTACATAACTTTACCAATTTATATGTTTAATAATTGAAGAAATAAATTTTTGCAGAAAAAAGCAGATTTTTGTATCCAGGGGTGAATTCTGAATAAGTTATAGCAAGAAAAATTAATATTTTATGCGATGTTGCCATTGTCTATTGTATTTGCCCTCTATAATCAAATCACTTATTTTCAGAAAAGTGTATTTTCGTTTTTTATTAGGACTATTTTTAAAAGGCATCACAAAGAAGAAAGAAAAGAAAAAACGATCTGAAAATTTGAATAAGAAAACGACAGATTTTTTTTTTTTAATGATTTCTGAAAAATAAATAATTGTTAGATAGCATACCTTTGAAATTCTTAAAAATTCAGACTTCATTCTTCTATTATTCATTTAATATTCATAGTGTCATTTGCTTGGTAAATAAAATTTGTCAACTTGTTGATTTGTTAAAAACAGTTACAACTAATATTTAACAAAATTTTATAACCTTACAATAAGAGTAGACTGCAATTTCTCCTTTGTTAATTTAAAATTTCACAAAAGTGAAAAAAATATATAAATAGAATAATTTATTTTAACCTGATGGAACTGCGCGTAAAAAGGCGTATCTGCAGTCTTCTCTGCTTTGCAAAAACCAATTTTCCCATGTTTTTAGATTGGGAAAATGGTGTATTTGGGAGAAATATTCTCCTAATTTTGCCCATTTGCTAAATGGCCAGTGGGTTAAATGTAATATTTTATTTAAAAAAAAAGTAAATTTAAGCAATAATTTTCATGATTTTAAATTATTAATTACCTTAATCATGATGCTTGACAACTCTCCAATCCATTTCTTGAAACTGTACCAAATAAATTTATTGCTCAAAAAGTATTAATAGTTCTCACCGCCTAATAAAATCATGTCCATTGATTTTATAAACCGGAATGTCTACACTTAAAAAAAAATTCCGAAGTTAAACTTTACAACTGCACTAAAGCTAAATTGATTTGTACATTTAAATTTTATTTTTACTGAATTTACAGTAGTGAACTTTTTTGTGGTCCTGTCCGTACCTCTATTTAAAGAATGTTATTTTTAACGCTTATAAGTGAACAGCTGAGAACTTGGAAATTCGGTTATAGTGGACTCAAATTTCATTTCTCTAAATGTCTTTTTCAGTCCTCCGTCTTAAAACTTGCAGGTGTTGGCTCGAAAATTAATGCATTCCTATACAATGTGTCATATTTCATTCCTTAATGCTAATCGCTTTTAACTATACTGTAATAAATGTTAAACAGAACATTTATCTTATACTTCCCCCTCCCTGACAAGCCTCTTTTTGTCCCTTTTCCCCAAACTTGCTCTATGACTAATTAACTTGGTCACCTGCTGAATTTTTGGAATTCTCTTCTCTGTTCAAACCATATTCTTTACAAATCACCCCTTGACAATCAAAAAGGGAACAATTTAACTCGTTCTATAGCTGATCTCTTCATATTCTTACATTATCTATTTGAGAAGATTTTTATTTCAAAAGCAGTGAAAATGACAAATTCTCTAAAGAGAAAAGCGTTTTTGATAGAGGATATAGTTAAAATTGTAAAACGTATTGAAGATGGAACCAATCATTCGGCAATGTGTAAGGAATTTTCCTTGTCAAACTCTACAGTTTCAAACATTTGGAAAAATCGAAGTGTAATTCTTCCCGCATACGACAAAAGTATGGTTTCGTCGAAAAAACTGCTTTGAGCTGAAAGAGAAAACGTAGAAGAAGCTTTGTTAAAATAGTTTACTACTCAGCGGGATAGAAATCTTCCTGTGACCGGACCTATGCTTCAAATTAAAGAGAATGAGTTTGCTGAAAAATTAGAGGAAAAGGATTTTGTGTGCTCCAATGGATGACTGGATAGATTCTAAAAACGGAATAATATTTCTTAAGGAAAGATTGTTGGAGAAGAAGCGAGTGTTGATGCAACAGAAGTGTGGCCGAATATTATACTGAATTATGAAGAGAAAGACATTTTTAATGCTGACGAAGCGAGACTATTTTACAAATTAATTCCCAATCAGGCGTTAAAATTTAAAGGAGAAAAACCACTAATGGAAAACTTTCCAAAGTGAGAATAACAGTTCTTGTTTGTGCAAACATGAACGGCTCGGAAAAGTGAAAACTAGTAACTCATGGGTAAATCTCAAAAACCGAGGTGCTTTAAAAATGTTAAAAAAACTGTCCATAAACTACAAAGCCAATCAAAAAGCGTGGATGACCTCCCATTTTTTTGAAGAATTTCAAAAGTGGGACAACGATTTATTAAAAGTAAATCGTAAAATTGTTCTTCTTGTAGACAATTGCACAGCTCACCCCCCCCCCTTTAGAAAATCTAAAGTATATTAAGCTCGTATTTTTGACACCAAATACGACTTCTGTGTTGCAACCCATGAATCAGGGTGTTATTCGCAGTCTGAAGTCTCACTATAGGAGACAATTAGTTATGCGTATAGATAACTATGCAAAAAACAACATGCACTCAGAATGCAACATCTCTCTTCTAGAAGCAACTAGAAAAATCATGGAGGCAAGTAACATCAGCTACAATCAGCAACTGTTTCCGACATGCAGGTCTTTCAAGGGATTTAGAAGAAAAAGATTCCAATATGGAGGAAGAAGATGATGAGGAAAATTTACGTATCTCTCCATGGCTAAAAAAACATGGAATGGACATTTTTCCTAAGAACGTTATTGAGTAATTTGATTGTTGCGATAATGAAGTATGCACTTCTGGTACTCCTACCAATGATGACATTGTCAGTGAAATAAAACAAACGAATGAAGGTAGAAAAGACTTATTGGAAGAAAATAAACTTTCAGCACCATCTATAGCTGAAGTAAAATCAGCCATCATAAATGTCCTTTATATGTTTTTGCATTCTTTGCACATGGTGGATAAGAAAATTGATGAACTCTATTTAAAATCAAATTGTGTTCAATCAAAAATCACAAATTTTTTTTTCATAAAAACTAATTTCATGCTACGTAAGTACTTTTTTCATTAATTTTTGCTTTATTTTCTGTTAATTAGGTAATAATTTTTTAAATAACTTACGTAAAATTGCAAAACCAATTTTCAATCATTCAACTGTCTTATGCAAAAAATATTTTTCGAAACATTTGGATATAGTGAACCACATCGTTTATAGTGGACACATTACTGAGTCTGCAGATGGTTCACTGTAGCGGGGTCCGACTGTATATTTGTCACTTAAATTAAATATTAACTATATTTTTCTAATTTTCATATTTGTTAGGTTAGAAAAATCTATAATTAACAATTCAATATGGTTTGAAAGTATATAAAAGTTTTTGTAACTTATAATATTTCATTTCCTTTCCTGTAAATTTCATTTTAAAACATGGAGCTCTTTTCTAACATCGATTAAAGATAGATTTACCTTATTGAATGAGTGATTGTAGGCATTATATACAATTCATAAACAGTTTTCATTTGGATTCTTTTACACTCGCTATTCATAATTTTTTAACTCAACCTGCGAATTGCAGAGTGTAATCCACTCCTGTAATTTTGTTCCAGGAAGCACAATGAATTATGCTATTTATATGCTATCTTAACTTAAATGGAATTGAGAAAATAGAAAGAAAAAAACAGAGTTTTTATTTATTTTCAGAGTATGCCCTACAAAAATTTGATTTTACAAAACGGCTATCATGATTTTATTAAAAGATGGTTTTAGCATGTGTTGATATTGTAAAGATTTTATTCTTGCAGATGTAATCTTAAAAAGGGGCTGATTTTATAGTCCAGTGATTATATTAGCTGCGGCCACTGTATTATAAAACTTTAGATTCATTGTCATATTAAGTACAAAATTTATAAAAATTAATTTTTCAAAAAATTTTTTTTGCTTTAAGAAGAAGAAAAAACTTTTGAGCCGTACCTTACTGATATAACTTGACCAGCTGACAAAGATATCCCATTCATTTGAGCTATAAAAATTGCCGCCACTGCTTCATAAAGTGCTGTGCCATCCATATTTACAGTTGCTCCAACTGGTAAAACAAAGCGTGTGACCCTTTTGTCAATNTACACATAACCTGTCAATTTCTTTTGCAATAATGTTGTACAGTTGCTGTTTGTATAGACAAATAAAAATAAGTAAATAAAAAAGTAAATAAAATTATTTTATTGTCCTATTTTTTTCTATATACTTATCTACTTCACTATAGAAAACAGTTTTTTGACAAAATGGCTATTAGGGCCTCAAAGTAGTTTCAGCCCAGGGCCCCACAAATTCACGATCCGCCCATGTCTATGTCTGTATCTGTAACTCAAATGATGTAATGCAGCACGCACAAAACTTTATGAAATTTCTTAGCATGTTTATCTATGCGACTTTATATGGTACGCAAAATATGAATTGAATATGTTGGATATTTTCCGTAATTTATATCTCTGAGAACTATATTACTTCAAATTTTGTGTTTTAATATAAAGAGTCACGTGGCACGATTTTTTTTTCTGTATTTACTCATACTTGTTTTTTTTTACCGTGAAAATACGAGTAATGTATTCTCATTGAACTATTATTTTTCACTCATATTAATAACCCTTGATTTCTTATAAAAATTCGCGATACTTCACTCGTGATATAGTTTTGTTTGACCAAGTCATTTTTGACCATGTTTTTTACTCGTATGAAGGCATGTAGGTCTTCTTGATTAGCGCATGTGCCTTTATAATGTTAAAAATAAACAATCTTTGAAAATTTACAAAGATTTCACAATCTGGAGGATATCCTAAGAATTTATAACTATTTTATCCATGACGTTGTAGATAACGTGGACAGATCAAATTCCATTTGATCTGTTTAGATCAAATCCCATTGGATCTGTTAAGTTGATGAATTATACTGCACCACACAATTACAAGGAAATATTTACAATTTGTGGATTTATTACAAATGTTTACATTAACCCATGAATGAACTAAGTGACTTTATAGTGAATTTTAATAAATTAGCTTTAGAGTTTATAAGTTACTCGTTCTTGTTGCTTCAATAAATCTCTGTTTTTAGAATATTTGTGAAGATGTAACTCGAATTTTTGGAGTACATTAATTTTTTAGAGAAGATATTTTAATACATAACTTCTGCTAATGCTTTATTATTTATAACGGATATATTTTATTTAAAAATCTAAAATAAATCTAAATTTAATCAGGCTTATATCCTTGAAATAAAATTTTAGTAACCTAAATTAAGAAAAAAATAGCATCACACTTATATAGCCTTGTTTCTCCGATAACCATTCAAAAACGATTCCCTGTCCTGATATTTCATGATTTTCGTGTGTTCTCAAATATCCCCTTTTCTGCGAATACAAATTCGGATTATAAAATAATCGATTTTAAGAATCAAAAGATTTAGATTTCCTATGCAACATCTTTTTATTTCAATGGTAAAAAAAAAAATCGCTAGACTTGTTAGTTCCTACTTAATCCACTAATTATATACATGACTCAGTCAGTGTCCCCCTCAGGATTCATTATTTGAAACTACTTTAGAATTCTGTCAATTTATGAAGAAGAAAAAAAACTAAATTAACAATTTTACATTTCCAAATTTTTATGGTGATTATTCGCTTACGGGCCATACGCTTTTTCTCATTTTCAGCAAATACAGTAAAAAATCCTTATATGAGGAATTTTTGTAGTTTCACAATTATTGTTACGTCTTGAACTTATTACAAATTTTAATTAAATATTGGAATGAAGGAATATGAACTAATTTATTAATTATTATTTTTTAAAGTTACAGTAACACTATTAAAAAATTTCTGTGCATTGATCTCAAACTATTGATAGTTATTCAGTGCTCCATTGAAAAAAAAGTTTTTTTTTGGAAAATGTTAACACTTTTCATTAACTCTGAAATTAAAAATAGTATAATTTATTATTTTGATATAAAATTTTACCTTTATCATAATTAATTAGAACCAATTATATGTTGTTTAGTTTGTCGTTTGCCTATTTTGAAGGTAGTCTGGTATGTGTGTGTATATATATATATACAAGGTCTGGCTATTAATTTCCAGGACTGACGTAACTGTAGGAGAAAGAAAAGCCGGAAGATGGCGCTAATGATTGCATACTGAAGAGCATTTTCTTGCGCATGTGCAGTGCAATCGGCGCCATTCTGAAGTGAGTGGTTCTCGTGGAAAGGCGCATTAAAACGGAGCTCTTAAATTCCTGTCGAAGTGAAATGGAGCAAAGAATTAACATTAAATTTTGCTTCAAATTGGGCAAGACAGCTGCAGAAACCTACNAATTAGAACCAATTATATGTTGTTTAGTTTGTCGTTTGCCTATTTTGAAGGGAGTCTCGTATGTGTGTATATATATATATATACAAGATTTATCCAATGTATGCAGACGCTGTGCAAGCGGCCAAGTCCTGGGCTATATGGTTAAGGGTTTTCATAACCTAGGTACATGCTCAGGGCTTGGAGGAAAGAAAAAAAAAAGACGCTGTGCAAAGTGTTAAGTGCGACATTCCTTTTCCTAAAATATAATTATTTAGTTTCAAACGGTTAACAGCTTTAACGAGCTCCATATTGTTCTATCACTTCTTATCCCTGGTGTTGTAATTTTACTTATGTAATTCACTTGTGTAATCCTTGCTTGTGTATATTTGGTTGGTAGATTACCCTATTGGAAAAATGTTACTCTGAATTCGTTTTATTTCTGTATACAGTACGCAAAAATCTAAACGGAACACCCTGAATAACTTTTGAACTAATGACTGGATCTTCACGTTCTAGAACTCAGTCTTAAATGGTTCAAGAGAGTGACCTCAAATACGGTAATTAATTAGTGCAGTCACAAAAACGTACGTACTTTCACTGAATAAACATACGTATAAAAAACGGTAAACTGAAAAAACGGTACCGTTTTTTCAACGGATTTGAATTTTTGTCCTCCAAAGTATAGCCGTTATCTAAGAAATATCCTAGTTTGGTAAGGAGAGCAATCGAAAGTTTGAATACCCTTAACGCTAATTTTACTTTTTGCGTATTTCGCCATCTACAGAGAACTTTTTAAACGAAGAACATAAGCAAAAAATTATTATTATTATTTTCCCACTGAACTTCATATTTGCCATGTCATGCTTATTTACTCTTTAATGGTTTAAAAATTAATTTACTATGATGCAAAATTAGCTAAATTCTCAAAGTAATTTTTTTTATTACCTTGTTTTAATTTTTTTTATTACCTTGTGTAAGAAAGCATGAGCTTTTTGAAACGTAATTTGAGTAAGTTTAAAATTGCTTGTGTAAAACAAAGTATAAATTATAAGAAAAAGATATATGAAAACGGTCACATTAATCGTTCTGGTGTTAAAAATACGATACTAAAATTATTTTAATAAAAAGAATGTGAATTTACCTGGACGCAGTCCCCAATGCTGTCACCCATGCTTGAAGCATACCTTTTAGGAATGTGAGTGGGTTTTTATGAGTAACAATGAAGTACAGAAAAGGAAGAGTAACACAAGCATGAATGGCTAAACCTATCACAACGGTCATCATGTAGAGTCCTAATTGTTCAGCTGTTTTCGCCAGGTCATTAATGGCCATTATTTTCCCTACTATCAGTGACATTATGCCAAATGGTGAATACCTAATAAATGTTAAACCAAAAGTTAGCTAATTTTCACGAGAAAATTAAATATACAGAAAAGTATATTATCATAAATATACACTCTGCAAAGTAAGGAATTCTGCTTAAAAACAAATCATAAACTATTTTAAAAAATAATGCATTATGATTTTTTTTTTCAAAAATGAAAAATAGAGCGGGGTGCAATGATTTCTTAAAATGATTGAAAAGCTGAAGTAATGTTATAATTTTTTGTGTTATAAGTGTACAGAATAAGTAATTTCCGTTTTTCAGTGTGAAATAAAATTCAACTTTTTCTGTGCTAGAAATTAACTTTAATCAGTGAAATATCTTCCATTCTGTTCAATGACCTTTTGCCATCTTTCTGGAACTTCATGATCCAACGATCTTAGAACTTCTGGACTTTATCAGTAAAAAATTTAACCAAGTACGACTTGAGGTCATCGCTATTACAGAAATTTTCATAACTTAAATAAGTTTTGAAAACTTAAATAATGATAATCTGATGGTGTAAAGTCGGGCCTATATGGGGGATCAAAAATCATAAAGGATCCCCCATATGATCAAAATACCTGTATGGGGGACCCCATGGCCTATATGGGGGATCAAAAATCATAAAGGCGGCTATTTTTGTGTCACTGGAACAAATTGCCCCAAGATCTTACAATAGGGTAGTTATACTGTCTGACTCCAAAGCTGCCATTCAAGCTATTAGATCTCGTGAAATACCTATTTTTAGGACTATCCAGGGTTGCCAGGTTCTCTTGGAAAGTTTGAGGATAGAAGGGCGACAAATAACACTCCAATGGATCCCAGGACATTGCGATATCTACGGCAATGAACAGGCCGATATGCTGGCTAAAAAAGGCACTCAAATAATTCAACAGCCAAGCACTTTTAAATCCTTTCATTCGGCAAAACTCTATATCAAACATTTTATGAGACAAAACTGGAAAGCGTTGCTCACTTCTCGTATTTCTTCAAGAAGTTGGGGGAACAGCTTAGAACAGGGTATTGCCGATAACCCCGAAATAAAGCTGTTGCAGAATTCAGACTTGCGGTGGGCCATGATTGCCTGGCGAACCACCTCTGCCGCATCAGCAGTCTCGCTGACCCAAATTGCCCGTTATGTTCAAATAATGAACTTATGGACAGGAACCATCTATTGAGATGCTCGGCTCTGCATGGGAACTCTGAGGTGAGGCGTACTGGAGTGCCCGACATCTATAAATGAGATAGTGACTTTTTTCTCTTACTTGTTGTTCACCTTTTTGTTCACTGATTTTGTAAGAGTTTTTCATCTTCTTTTGCCATTGGAAATGAAAAATAAAAATCATAAAGGAATCTTGTTCCACCACGCAATGCGAGACTTCGCATATTTTAGCAACACAAAGTTATTGGTGCTTGATTGGAAAGGGATATCGCATGCATACCCCGACTTTACACCTCTTAGATCCAATTTGTATATTAGTAGAAATATGGAAAAAATACTCGATTGTGCTGAAACTTCCACCTCCTATTATTTTCAGGAGCGACCGAGAGAAATTTAAAACTGTGACTTGAGCTAATTTAATATAAAATAAATAATTTTTTTTAATAGAAGCATTATACTTCAACTGAAACTATAATATTAGAACTTAGTTCCTTTATTGTATTTTTTAACTCATTTTCTGTATTTGTATTAAGCTTACTGCTTTGTAAAATGTTTATAAAATACTCTTATGTTTTGATGAAATTCGAAATTTCCTTTCATTACTTGGTTAATTTTACTTTGACATACTGAGTTCACGAGACACTATTAGACCTTTAAGTTTTGTCCTTTTTAAGTGTGAAAAGATTATTTAAAGATTAATAAAAAATTATTTAGGGAAGTATACAAGACAGAGTGAGCATTGAAAATAGTGGCTAGGAAAGAAAATTCGTAAATTTTGTTTTATTGTTCTCCAACTTCCTTTACATGTATATTTTGGCTCCACATAATAAGATGAAAGTAATATTTAAATGATAATTTCACAACATTGCTTGCAAATACAATACCATATATTTAATGATTGCAAAGCATTTATTAAAAGTAAAATGCGAGGGGCTCTGTTCTAGTGTGCTTATAGTCCCCAAATTATTTAAATCGGGCTTTATTGCCTGTAAGGCGCTTTTGGAATTTGAAAAAAACGTAGCAATAATTTTGAATTTATTTGAAATTTTAAAATACATTTTCGGATTTTTTTTAATTTTGTTTTTTTTGTTAAAGAAAGAGAATATGATAAAAAGAACATATGCTAATAAAATTTCAAAATAAATACAGGGTGTTCCTTGGTCACCACATTTAATATGTATTTTTAGAATCCTTGTCATAAATAAAGTCACCGCACATACTGTCAATCAGGAGCTAAACTCTCAGTGAGATTGGAAGACTCGATCATTTTGCGAAGTAGTAAGGTCGCGAGTATTAGTATGCAGAAACTAGTTTTTTATTCAACGCGATCAACAAACCAAAATACTATCTGCACCTATAAATAAATAGACCAGTCCGTTACCATCATGACTGTTACCTACCTACTACTCTTGCGCCGAGGGCTCATCTCGTGATTGCCAGACAGTAAGACCTACGCATCCTCAATAAACATAATATTAAAGAAAAGAAGAAGAATTAAATTTTAATGCATAATTATCGTTTATCGAGCTAAATCACAGTGCAAGTGGTAAAATCATTCAAGCCACTTATTTACCGAATAAAACATATTAGGGTTCCTAATAACTTCTATTTTTACCTTTCGATTTTTTCGTTTAATAAAGTGGCTTTGATAATTGTAATCCCATTTTCACAATGATTACCTTTAACAGTGGATCTGCCAGATCGGCATGACCTTTTTATTTTTGTTTCTCACTTCACAATTTTTGACTCCTGATGTGTTGGTTCTTATAATTTTAGTTGTGATAAAAAATTCTAAAAATTTGTAGTATAGGCGTGATTTCAGAAATCCCCGAATAAATCGACAATAAGAGCTGTCCTCTGACGCAAATGATCTAAGAGTCTGTTTTTAAGTTCAGGCTGAATACGTTTCCGCACTTTTAACTAACATCGGATTGATAGGTAAATTTGAGATAGCCTAGCGTATTCTATTTAAGCTCGAGAAATAATGTTTATATAACAGTATTCCGCTGCACATTAAGAATTAGCTAATTAAAATTCTCAAAAACTAGTCTTATTATTTTTAAAAAGGTCGTAACACTAGAATTACCACATTATGACTATAACAATCCTCATGATAACTTCATTCAAAATAACAAAGAAACGGACGATAGGTGCGCCAAATTCTCCCAGCTGGCCGGAAATAATACCAAATGCAATGCAGAAGACAATAAGACCTAAATATATGAAAAGTAATGCAAACATTCAAAAATATATCTAAAATTAGTCGTATTATATTATTTTGTATATTCTTATAAGGAAAAAATCATAATTTTTATATAATATTCAGTGTCTATAAAATATGTAAACGGTCAAAAATCTGGAGATCGGAGGAAAAAATACAAATGTGAACTCTTTTCACCAGTTTCACCCCCTAGGGATGGAGAAACAACTTCAAAATCTCAAATAAGAACCTCCAATTTTTATTGCAGAGTTGGGTTTTTCAAAAAAAAAAATTTCCTGTGTTGACCTACAAGATTTTGATTCACAAATAATAATAGGTGAAACCTTTTAACTGTTTGCCGCGACTTTTGTTGGTCTTTGAAAACAGAAAAGAGGTTCAACCGTTTTTGTTACAAGTAACAAAACCGGTATTTGTTACGATTTTGAACAAAGTTAACTTTGCTGTGTCACAAAAGAAAAGAACATGCGTTATCCTTTGTTTAAAAAAGATATCTCGAGAAATACATTTCAGATCGAAAAAATAAAAATAACTAATGACACCAAATTCGGCTCCCGCACCATTTCCGGAGGTTTGGATGACTCTCAAGTAATAAGGATCTCAAGGATTAAGAGTCTAGTCCGGTGTATATATATTTAGTATATATATGTCAAAATATAACACAAATCTAATTTTATTTTTTCGATCTGACATGTATTTTTTGATTTATCCATATTTTCTAAAATTTCTGTCCCCATTTTTTTTACGGGGCCATACCGCAGTTCTAATTTAAAACTTTGAAATTATCCCTTACCCCGGGAGAAGTCGAGTTTGCTATCATTGAGCGCATCTTCTGAAAATATTGCACACTTACTTGTCGATATGATTCGATGTGTATACCTCCATACTTTTCGGATATCCTGAATATTTCCAATTTCGGAATAAATGCAGAAATGCAATTAATTTAACTACTATATCATTATAAATACAACTTTACAGCAGAGGTAGCTTTTTCTATAATTGATATACATATCTCGAGCTTTTAAGTACTAATAACTTTTTGGTTCATTTCAAATACCAACTATAACTTTCCCTTCGAAAGCTCTAATTGTCTTTCATTTTAGTAATATGATGGGTATTAGCAACTACATAGAAAAAAAATATCAGTTAAATGATGGGGCTTGTAACTGGTATCTTTTACAGGGAATTTTTTTTTAATTCTTTAAGCGTTTCATTTGCTAATTAGCTGCCACAGTGTAAACACATACTTTTACTGAGAAGGTTCATTAAGAAATACAATCAAGATTTTATTTTTTTGTGGTTTGATTTCTCACTACCAATACAAGTCTACACAGACGAGTGTATTTTTAATGAAGTTTAAGAAATCAGCAATATGTTTCATATCTGTATAATTTTAGAGCAGCATGCCTCATCGATCGCGCAAGTTCACGTTCATGATAAAAAAGGATTTCGAAAACAAATAAAAGGATGTTTCTTTCTCGAAGTATTATTTGCATACTTCTTATGATTTTGCCATCTGATAAAAAATTTATAAAAATAGAATACAATTTTCCTTTCCTTTTATTAGTTGAGGCAATAAACCGCATCCCTTACAAACATTTTCCCCTAAGGAGAAAGATAATCGGTCTAGAACAGTGGTTTCCAACTGGCGGCCCGGCCGGGGACCGCATCCGGCCCGCGAAGCCTTTTTTTTTCTGGCCGGCGAACATAAAATATATTAGTTGTCATTTTTTTGTGGACAATTTTCGTAAAAAATCTGTATGGGTTTAAAATACTTTTCTCGTTCATAAAAACCTAATTTCTTCGTTTCTGTGAAATTTATCATACTAAAATTATCTGTGAAATTATCAATTTATTTATTCTGTGTTATTTATTCCGAATTATTTATTCTGTGAAATTATCAAAAAAAATTTATTTCTCAGGTTTTGCATTCAAGAAAATATTTATTCAAATACAAAAATAATCGTGTATGTTGCTATTTTTTATTTCATTTTTTTGTATTTTGTGAATATAATTTAGCATGTGTGTATCAGAAATTTTCTCGAAGAAATTCTCCGATTTAACTTCTTGAAACCACTCATTTTGGACGAAAATATTTACACACACATTTGTAATTTTTAAATGTAAATATCTATTCTCTGGTGGTTGCAGCAGACAAACCTCAATTTTGTCAATGAACATTTTGTGCGCTACTATGTAAGTTTGAATACCAACCTTTTTAAAGTTTTATATCTTAACAATTAGATATTGTTACACATTAATTGTTTAATACATGGGTGCACAGTTATTGTAGCCCGAATTTTTAATATGCAATTAAATATTTTTAAAAATTTACTTCTTATTTTAATTTGTAATTCAATACTTTTGATTTGTACAACTTGGTAAAAATCTGACAGTAATATTTAATGTTCCTTCAAACATAAAAGAGTCCTACGCAAAATTTTGATAAAGTTGAGGCCCACCATTTGATTCGTGTTTTAAATTGTGGCCCCCGAACTCATGTAAGTTGGAAACCCCTGGTCTAGAGCTATGGCTGCCTGTTTTTAAAAAAAAATTTATTTTGCGAGAAACGTACTTGAAACTTTGTAAGGTTAAAAGGAGCTGTAAAAACTTTAAAAACATGCCTGATGCAAAAATAATGGGATCTTTGGAAAAATTGGAATATAAGTCAGACAAGTGTTAATTTGAGAGAGAGTATAGAACTTACCTAAAACATTTGTACCATCTTTATATACTTGAGTTCTGACTAAGTAGCTTACAGTTTGTGAATCATTAGCAATTGTAACTTCTCCATCAATGTATACCATAGGAGCTACAGTAATGTTCCTAGCAATTTGTTTAAAGACTGTTTCGACTTGTTGAAAACATGCTGTCAATAAATTCTCAGGAAACATGTTTCTAGAGAAAATTGTAGGATGAAACATACTGTAAACCTCTCACATATATACGATTATAATAAAATATAGTGATTACATTAAATGAAAAAAAAAATTAATGTCATGTCAGGGAGACAATATTTGATCAAGAACCACAAGAATGTGAATATCTTTAAAAGCAGGAAAGACAAACAAATGCTTAAACAGTACGCTATTTGTTAATTCTTTTACTTTATATGAATTCATTTCATTTAACTGGATAATATTGATCACTTTTGTTTCTATATATAAATAAAATAAATATCACAAGTAAATTAATACCACACATTATTATTTAGAGCTTACGAAACATTTATACTAACGTGGAAAGCTAATTTAACCTATTAAACTTTACCTATATTTTCAAAGGCTATTTTTTTGTGAGCCTAAGCATTTTAAAGGTATTTTAATTACCAATACTACTTATACCCATACTAAATTGAATTACTCTAGCAAGCCCTCCCCTAGTTAATCTCTCTTAGTCGAAAGACAAAGCAATTGCTGCGTTGTGATTTATAAATTCGGAAACATTTTAACTATAAAAAATTATTTTAATATTGCTCTTATATTGTCAAGAATATAATAAATTAGAGGAAATAATACATAACCTGAATGAAGCGGAGATTCTTCACTGTTTCGTTTCCAATGTACATATTTGCCTCAACCGGAGGTGATCTCAGAAAAATAGGTCAACACCAGTCTATTACATTACACCATTCCATTACGTAATAATCTCTGTCTTGTGTATGTTTGAGGAAGGATGAAACTTCTTTGCGTTCTTCTTTTATTTATCCCGCAGTGGATCGTAAAGACACGGCTCCCGGCAGATCACCGAAGTCAAGCATCACTGGCTGGAGTCAGTGTGCGGTAGGGTGTCCACTTGGATCAGTCTGCGTAGGGATCGAGGGTGTGCGGTATTGGTCCTCGTTAAACTGTTCTACCGTAAAGTGCTCGACTTCGCGTGCAGGTCATCGAGCTACCGAAGCGGAGGTGCCATCCCCTCTGCAGAGGATCAAAATTGTGATGGCATGTCTTCGGATCATCCTCAGGGATATTTCCCAGATCGTCACCAATATCCCATTGTACAGCTCTAGTGCGACGTAAATGAACTGGAACAACAACAGCTTCTTTTATTTAGAGCGAAGATCACACAAATATTTACGTTTGGGTTTTAAGCTTGGTCAACAGTTAACTTAATTATTTCTCAAAATGAAAAGTTGACTAGTAGTCTATTCTGTGGATAGTGGTTAAAAAAATATTACTTACCTTATAAGGTCTAGAAAAGCGTCTAACGTTGACACCTGTCTAGAATCTCCTCTGTAGTCACTCATTTCTTTAATCAAAGGATCTCCAGGCTGTATGGCTAAGACAAGGATGATTCCTAGGACAGCAGCAAATATTGTAGTTGATATGTAGTAGAGAAGAGCCCACGACCCCATTTTACCGCATGCTTTTGCATCTAAATGAGCCAAACCTGAAATAGACAAATTAATTAATTTCATTTCCATTTTGAGTCTGCGAAAAATATCCCTTTAAATTATCTTTAGAATAATAGAGATAAGATTTTCAATTCAATTTTCTTTTTTGATAATGTTCTACTTTAATGAATCGCGATACTGTGAAATAGCATGCAATTATGCAAATTTTGTAATGAATGCTTGAATGTATTGGATTTGTGAAATAATAAGTTTAGCCTAAACTTATTAATAGGGCTCGATCGTGATTTAAACCCGGATCCTCTCGCACCTGAAGCGTGAATCATACCCGTATACCACCTTGCCACGCAATAACCCTATTTACTTAAATTCTAAAATAATAATATAAGCCTGCGAGCCACACTTTGCCAACCATTCATCTCTGAATACGAAGAACTTAGCCCAACCATACAGATAAATTATAGATAAGACTTTATCACTGATAAGTTCTCATTACATAAGCCACGTGTTTTTAAAAAGAATCTCATTTGGTTGTATATATTGTATGCATTGTATATTTTGTATTTATGGGGATAATTAAGCAGGGGTGGTGCCAGTAGGGTGGGGGATCATGCCTGTCCATCAAGGGAAATTCCAGCTAGAAGGTGGGGTAGAGGGTCATAGCAATAGATATGATCCATCAATGTGTCAAAGGTGGAAACATATTGTTATGGATAAATTTTTGAAGTGAAGACTCCTAAAATTTAACTAATATCTATCGCCAAACATTTGGCGAATGAAACAAGTTTCAAGATATAGTTTTCTTTAGCAACCCTTTTAAATATTATACCACCACGTATAGTCAATATTAGCAACCACGATTAATAAATTTAGTAATAAACATGCGTAACTTATAAACATGTTTCTTTACAAACTAATATAACTTTATTGGGAACAAAAACAAACACATAAATACAAAGAATATATATTCGTCGTCAAAAGGAAAATCCTGTCCAGGCGACAAAGAAAAGTAATACAATAAATTTAATTTAGAAATTTAAGAAATAAAAAATAAAAAATAAAAAAAAAACATTAAAAAAAAAGGGGGGGATATTACAATCATTAATTATTTTGCTCATCATAGGACGTCATACATTGTTGAACACTGTAATAATAGAAAAAAAATACATGAAACTAGTAATAAATTTTCTAGTAATAAACTTGTCATTATAGTGAGTTAGTTAGGACGAATGAATTTTTATGTTCATTGTTCTCATTATTCGAAGAAAACAATGAATATAAAAAATCGTTCTGTTTAATAAACGTTTGTCTTAAGATTTTTTAAAAATGGCGTTGAAAAAATTTTGTCTTTCAAAATGGGAATTGAGTCAAAAGGTATAGAATCTATGTCGGGTCTCCTAATAGGATTTTCAAAGAAATGGCATTGCAAGTTTATGAAAAAACTCTTTGTTAAATATAAAAATTAATCTTAAATTTAAATACATTTTTAGTATACTTTTTCTGAGTACCTCAAAAGAATTTTTTTTTTTAAATATTACACGTGGAATAAAATGCTTTTTATATTGCAAGGTTTGTAGTTTTATTGATATCCCAGACTTCAGTTAAATAATACTGTCCTGATTTTTCCTGACTTTTAGCTTTTTGCTTTCATACTCCCCCCGAATTTTGTGCTTTTATCTATATAAACAAACTGAATGAGTGAATTATATATATATATATATATATATTTAAAGTAAAGCTACAATAGTTAAA